ACGTCAATATCGTGAAAAGGTTTGAGAATAAATGAGCCCGTTGGTCTAATGGTAAGCAATCCAGACTGTTAAATCAGAGGTCATGGGTTTTATACCCACCCAGGATAAACATTGTTTGATGAACATGATTTTTTCTTTTGTTTCTTGTTGTAATTTATCTATAGTTTATAAATATAAAAGAAATATATAAGTATATTTATTGAGAAATATATGTGCTGGGTCGATGGCAATACACTTGCACCTTCAGATCATATAAAAAAGTTAAGATGGTACTCTGTAAAGTACTAAGAAGTGAGGGCAATTACAACTATGCCTTGGCGTTTACATACACAATTACACGCACACACGTACAACGAAACTACGCCTTGTCAGTCAAAACGTCATCAACAATTTTAACAATAAAAACGCCGCTGTAAAAGTTGATGCTCACACAATCAAACTGCAAGAGATAGATAGTAGGATGGAATCGCATTTTACACATAAGTAAGCGTAGAAACCAATATTTTCTATAAAATAAAATAATGATGGCAGCACCGGTCCACTCATGTTTATAAATCCAGCGTCACTTCATTCTTCCATCTTAACTTTTTATTTGATCTGAACTTGCACCCTATTATGTAAGTGAGTTTAATTAATAAACTCGGCAAAAGGTGGATGTTTAATTTGCTTCTGTCTACCTCTTTGGGTATAAAAAAGTGTGTGTATGTGTATGTGTGCGATCGTGTATTAATCACGTGATGTGTTTAGCAATTTTTTAACCCGGAGGGGGACCCTTGGTGATAAGTAGTGAGGTTTTCATCAACAGCCTTTAATAGTCCACTGCTGGACATAAGCTTCTCCTTAGAAAGGAGGTTTTGGCCTACTACACCACGCTGGCCAGACGGGTTGGTATAGGGTTTGTGTCAAGTTTTCCTTCTCTCTGCAGTGCTGTTGTTTTGCGTAGTTTTTTTTCCTTAGTCGGCTCTTACGACACCCACGGTATGAATAGGGGTGGTGACACTCTATATTCTTAATCCGTCACCACACGGACCAGTGAGGTTTTATAATACCCAAAATCACGATTTTTTTATATATAGGTATGTATAATCTGATTAAATTTTGGAAAATTAAACATCGTGATAAAAATGTTGAGATAAACATTAAGGTTAAGGTGGAATCATTTATTACTCAAACATTACAAATCACTTCACACAAGAAATAAACATAATTATAAATAGTACATAGTTCAGAGCGCGTTTCCAACACTGGAATATGTTGTGGGTAGTTGACAAAATTGATAAATAAAATTAGTTAGGGACTATTTACACTCGATGCATTTCATTAATTATTCAAATAAAATAATTTTACTTTCCGCAGTATTTTAAGCTTTGTTTGAAATATTTCTTAAATAAATTAAAATATTTCTTAAATAAGTTTAAAGATTCGGTGGATTTAATTTTCATAGGTTTGTATCTTATTGAGATTTGTAAGATACTTACTTACACACTTTTATAAGATACTCTAGGTGAGGATTTACAAGCGAATTGTAAATTGTATAACGTCCGTTTAAAGGTAAACTTTTAACTATTCCTGCGCAAAGATTGCAGGTTGTTTTTAACTGGGATAAAAATAATAAAGGAATCGAATAATAATTAAGGATCGAAATAAAATGAAATGAATGAAAAATGAAATCTTGCCAAACCCGAGTGGGGTTTGGAAAGATTTCGAGCCTTACGTGAGTAATAAACTATCCCTATATGTATGTATTTTGAGAGTAGCCTAAGCGTATATAACTGGGATTGGAAGAATCGGTTTTTATTAAACAATCAATATAAAGCTATGGTTTAATAGGTACTTGTGTATACAGTACAGTTTGATAAAATTTAATTAAAAAATATTTACAGCAACCAAATATGTGCATACAAAACCTTAGAGTATACAGGGTTTTCCAACAAGAGGTGTTAATTTTAATCACCCGGTATTTCGGTAGCTGTCACTTTTGAAGCTTTTATTTTTTGACATTTGACAAGTAGAAACTACGCCATTACTAAAAATGGAACGATACACATTTCAACAACGCATTAAAATTAATAAAATTCACTACAAAAATGGTGAAAATCTTGCAGTCACAGTTCGCAAAACAAAAGCATTTTTTGGTCGTCGTGAAGCACCTTGTCGGACCGCAATACAGAAATTTCTTTATTTTTTCTTTAAAAAAGACAACTCCCGCATTAGGAATATATCCTGTGTCGCGGGGGACTTTACAAACATACATGAAACGGACACAAAGAACACCCAAATTGGTCGAAAAATTCGAGCTGTTGGAACAAGTTAGTGATGTGAAGAATAAAACCCGTGCACGTCGCTTAAGAACAACTGAGAATATTGCTGCTGTAGCCCAAAGTGTTGAAGAAAACGCAGGTTTGTCCATTCCTCGTCGTTCTTTGGAATTGGGCATTCCACAAACGTCATTACACCGTATTTTGCATAAAGACTTGGGTCTTAAGGCTTATAAAGTTCAGTTAACACAAGAACTCTAGCCGGCCGATCATCAACAACGTCGTGTCTTTGCTGATTGGGTACTTGAAATGCATGAAAATGATCCGGAATTCCATCGAAAAATCATGTTGACTGATGAGGCCAATTCCACCAAGGAGGCTACGTCAACAAGCAAAATTGTCGCATCTGGGGCTCGGAAAACCCAAGAGTTATTGTTGAGAAGCCTCTCCATCCTCAACGTGTGACTGTTTGGTGCGGTTTATGGTCCGGCGGGGTCATTGGACCTTACTTTTTCGAAAATGAGATTGGATCAACACTTACGGTAAATGGATTGCGCTATCGAGATATGATTAATGATTTTTTATGGCCGGAGTTGAATGGTATTGATCTGGACAACGTTTACTTTCAACAAGATGGCGCTCCGTGCCACACAAGCAACGAAACCATTTCTCTTTTACGGGAAAAGTTTCCTGACCGTGTTATCTCTCGAAGAGGTGATCACAATTGGCCACTGAGATCTTGTGATTTAACACCTTGCGACTTCTTCCTTTGGGGCCACGTGAAAGATAAGGTCTACGCCAACAGCCCAGCGTCGATCCAAGACCTCAAAGATGGAATTCGTGAGGCTATCGAGGACATAGGGCAGCCACTTTGCGATTTGGTTATGCAAAATTTCATTAAAAGGATATGGTCCTGTAAGCGTGGTCGTGGTAGCCATTTGGCTGATGTTATCTTCCATTATTAACGGCATACCTTCCTCTTCATTATAAAGCAAACAGCCGATTATTTATCTTAAAAAATTGCATTTTTCTTTGAATACTAAAATAACACCTCTTATTGGAAAACCCTTTATGTACTCTGTTGTACTGAACTGTCTGTCTGTTTTAGTATTATATCTTCAGTTTATAAGAATATAAATTAAGTGACCGGTTTACTTCTTCAAGACTTTTGTTTTTTTTTTCATATTTACTTTTTTGTATTTTTTTTATTAACCTTCTTTATCATGTTTACTCCAGTATTTTCAATTTATGTGAAAAACAAGCCAAGCGAAAACTTATTTTTAAATTAATTAGTACCTACTTATCTTTGGAAATTATTTTGTAATACTTTTTTACTCGTTAAACAATAAGTTATTTGACAAATATCACACAGATTTTCCAACAGAAAAATTAAATAAATTATTCGATATTTATGCATGCGTCTGGGAGGCTAGTGTAGGCACTAGCCTCTCCGACGGGGTCCACAAAGCAGTGGAAAACCCAATGTGACATTTCTGTAACGTTGTGGTGTGTAATAAAGTATTGGAAATCATTTAAATTTAATTTAAGGCCAAATAAATGGATAACATAATACTATACTGCCAACGCCCCAAAAAAATACAGTTAAATCTACCCAAAAGTTCTAGCTATTGTTGTTACTAGTGGGCAAAACTGTCGGGTTCGCGTGATAGGTTCTTCCTCTGTGCGTTAATATATGTAACCGGTAACGTCATAATTTGTGTATTGGTCGTAGTAATACTGATTTTTATTGCGTTAATAAGGCTCGTAGAACGTATTACACGTATTATTAAAACCTATTTAAAATATGGGTGAAGTATAAAATTACAGGGGCAAAAATATTTTTCTTACTAATTTAGATTTAAACGCAAATTCAATTTGCGATAATAAGTAGATAACAAGTTGATCATGCCCTCGAAGAAGACCAAAAATGCGTTGGAGTGACGACATCAAACGACTAGCGGGAATAAAGTGGATGGAAACTGCCCAAGACCGAGAAACATGCCATATACTGAAGGAAGCTTACACCTCAGCTATTGGAAATGGCTAGAGAGAGAGAGAGAGAGAGAGAGAGAGAGAGAGAGAGAGAGAGAGAGAGAGAGAGAGAGAGAGAGAGAGAGAGAGAGAGAGAGAGAGAGAGAGAGAGAGAGAGAGAGAGAGAGAGTTGGTCGTGATCAAATATATAAAAAAAATCTTGTTTCGTGTTTCTTTCGTGTTTTTGTATTATTATTTTTTTCATTCTGTAGGGGACATTCCACGCAGAACGTAAGAAAAGGAACGGGAAGTTACATTGAGAGCGGTTGCAGTCAGTCAAAAAAAATAACTAACTATCACAAGAGATACTTATTTTTAATTGTACATTTAATCTTTATTTATATATTACTTTTAAATTATAGGAAAACTGTGATTCAATTATCAAGCGCTGTGATTATATTATTATAAAGCAGAATTACATTTTGAAACAAATGTCGCTCCATCTGTCTCTTCCTATGTTTTAACTGAGTTATACCCATATCAATTTTCGGGGAAATCGCAACTGGGGAATAATGACACTAAAAGTCAATTTTTTTTCATTCAAGTTAAACCTACTCTAAAGGACTTTGATTTTACATATGACAATCCTATGTAAACTTTAATATCTGTGTACAAATATTGCAAATTCAAATTGTGTACTATCTGTAGTTAATTAATCTGTGGAAGGAAAAAATATTTATTTAAAGGAAAAAACGAAAGTGCAGATCTCACCTTATCGAAGGCGAGGGGTCGGTATCGAGGCACGTCAGCGAGTTCCATGGCTTCTACGGGGCGGGGCGTGGGGAGCGGGCGCGGGGGCTGCGCGCGCGCCGCTAGCCGACCTCCATGGGCGTCTGCCGTCGGGGCCGCATACCGCTCGCGCCCGCGCTGCGCCCCCGACACCTGCGGACCAAGCACATAACACAACACCACACGTTAGCAATTATGCAACAACAGTATGCAAGCGAGGACGAATTAAAATCATTGTCAAATGAAACTAGCTTTCTCCGTGCCGAACGTTGACCAGCGCTGTTCGCGTTAAGCACTGAAGAGACCAGGCCGTTAAAATGTATAAATGCATCGATCACTTGCATTGCATTAAAAGTGGACATGCACTGCTAACTCTTGAAAAAAAGAGTTACAAGCATATTCCCTTGTAACAACTCACTAAATAGGTATCTGCAACTCACGCTAATCATGACCTAAAAGTGATATAATGTTAAAACATTTAATCATTGAAGAATCCTTTCTTGACGAATGAAGAATCATTACTGTTCCATTTTAAATTAAAATAAACAACCCTGTACTGATTGGTGTAAAACAATATTTAATTTTAGTGATTGCGTTTAGCATTTTAATTGATATATTGATGGACATTCTAAAATCTATAAACTTAAGGAAAACCCAAATCAAAGACAAAAAGCAGATTTAATAAAAAAACACTCACTTTATTTGACCAACAAAACAGCAAAATGCCGTCTGTCTTCATCTGTACCACTGTTAGTAAACTAATTTATTGTATGTCTAGTAATTAATAATATATTTATTGAATGTATATCCTGAACGCGTTGTCCTAAAGGATGATGTCATCCTGTGATGAATTTCTATTTCAAACGCCCTAATATTTCTTTGAGTTTGTATTAGTCACCATACCGCATTCCTCACAAATAGGTAAAACTGTATTTAATTGACATTACGAAGTTTAACGTTTAGGGATAAAATGTTCAACCAGATCTATATAACATAAATTTCGCGTGTCGCTAGAATCCTATCATTTAAATTCGTAAGCGTTCTGATATTAAATTAACGGCTGTACAGGGATAAAACACATGCTCTCAGAATAGATTATTTTTAACGTATCTCTGAGATTCTGGATTAAGGTCACTCACTAATATCAATAACACTTCAGTAATTTACCATATTACTATATTTACTATATACTCAACCCGAGTAAGGGTCCAGTGTAAATGAATCATATTAATTACTGGTAACATAATTATTGGAAATCAAACGCATAATACATAAGTAAAAAAATGCATTTTTGTGGTATACTCGTTCATAATGTAGACATTATGAATGATTTTACCACAACAATGCATTTGTTTTTTAATTACTACTATTTTAATTAATTACAATGACATCATTATAATTTATTAAAATAGGTTAAATGTTAATTTCTAACGAAACTAATATTTTTGCACAATTAGCCAACTGATAATCGGAACGAGACTTAATCTTAGTCCCTATTCGATAGACAGTTCCTATCACCAAGTGGTTATAATTCTGCTTTATTTGTTTATTTACACTTGTTTATGATTCTTAAACACGCCTACCTGACGTGGCTAAATTGTGCCACGGCTATAATTTACCGACATCGTGATAGTCAACAGAATTATTATACCTTTGTTAGCCATGTCGGGGAATTCACGAACTCGTCTATTGATGTCATTTGTAACTGATTGTTTCTCTGTAAAGGATGAAATTCAGTTTAAATATAGTCTTTGTTATGTTCAGAATTGAAGTCATTAAGTAGTTGGTTTAGTAAGAGATTTCTTCCAGTCCATTGGAGCCATACCGAACACACAAAAACTTTAGTCAAGTATCTATAAAGATTTAACATCACCAACTATCTATAAGTGTAGCAAAGAAGCACAGAGTCCGTTATATGAAGCATACAACTGTCGGTGCCCAAAAACGTTCGCGAAACCACCACTGTGTATTACTCATTAGTGATCATTCCGTTCACCCCGTCCAACACTTTGCTAAACACTGTACTACTCACCAAAAACACAACAATCACAACAATACGGTCATAATGTATTCAATGGAACAAAACATAGACCACACTTTAGAATTGATATCATTAATTTCTTTAATGGTCAGTCCATATGATAGAATTCGTTATTAGAATATCACATGTTGCCACGAGTCTTCGTCAACGATCCTGTTCCGAGCATGTGCCCAGTGTTTATTTGTACACGCTCGCGTTATACGATTTGTCACAAATAAAATCTGAATGCTACTACGTCTGACAAAGCTATTGTTTTACCGTCGACAAACGCCAGCCAACTCATATTATCATCTGATAAAACAGATAACGGCGCGTCCGTTAAATCTCCTCAAGTCGTAAATTTGTAGTCATGGGGGAATTTTGGAGGCTTAACCACCTAAAGATAAGTGAGATAAATTGTCGACGTGGAGAGAGGCACTCCGTATGAATAACGTCTGCCGAAATTCTAATTAAATGTATATATTCGACTACATTTGACTTAAATTGTTTTGAAATCATGGCCTCGTTTATTATTGATTTCTTTACAGCTATTTATTGACATATCGATCTCTGAATCGACTGCTGCTTTATCTTAATCTCGATCTGGCATTCATCGCCGTCCATATTTTTGTTATTTCTTTACTGTAATATACCATCTTCAAAGTCAATGCAATACCCAGTTTATAATATAATTTAATCATGCTGTCACTTCATTCAAAATGTTGTTTATTGTTCTTAGATTTTTCATTGGGTAAAATTCAGTAAATGTGTGCCTAAAACTGTTTCTAATGGCGTTTTAATGAACGGCAATATAAACATCACAAGTTGCGACTAAAGCTAAACATAAAAAATATGTCAAGGCTCATAGCCACAGCCGACCTTAAGGAATTTCAGAATATAAATTGATCCTGCGTATCTTTACAACATCTATTTCAATTGAATATTTAATACAAATATAATACAGAAGTAATAGCAGTCAATAAATAAAAGACAGACTTTTATGGGCAAGGAATAGTCATAGTGTCAATTACAACGTTAACTTTTAAGGAACGATGTCCGTTGGTTATATCATAATATACATAACTCAGTGTAGACAATGGATTACATCATATTTAACACTCGATATACAATGCAACATCAAATATATAAAAGTAATTGGTTTATTACAGAATAGATACATTTAATAAAAACAGATTTAAAGTATTGACAAGTTAAACCCTGGTCCTAGTGATTGACTTCTGATCGGATGGCTTCTAGTGCAGCGGTAGTGCATCAAAAAGCGCGTAGAAGTTTCCGAGTTCGATTCCTACTCATAGAAAAATGTATTAAAGTTTTAGAGTAGCAACCTTGGTATTCATTTGCTTTAGTTTATGCAAATATGTAAATAAAGTATATATATATTGTCAGATTTTCAAATTATGTTTTTAAATATGGCTCTCATTTAGGGTGTTCTCCAAGACACTACATTATGACTACCCTATCTGTAACATGTGTGTGAGACTATCCGTGTGGTGACGGATGAACAATATGTAGGGACGGAGTGTCACCACTCCTATTCATCCCGTATGCGTCGTGAGAGCGTACTAAGGTAGCAAACTACGCATAAAAACAACACAACAAAGAGAAGGAAAACTTAACACAAACCAAACCGTCTGGCCAGGGTAGTAGGTTAGGAAAAACCTCCTTGCTAAGGAGAATACTATGTGCAGCAGTGGACTGTTAAAGATGATGATGACCTGTAATATTGGGTAGACGTACACCAAATGTTTCAAAATCATTTGGCAAAAATACACACTCAATATTGTGCTACTTTCCACCAACACCAACATTCGCAAGGGTACCCTCAGACGAACCGCAAGCTTGTGGCAAACAAGCTTACGGTCCGTCTGAGGTTACCCTGATGTGATTCTTAAAGAAGTTTAGACGTCCATTTCCATTACATAAATCTTAAATAATGTCACACTTTTGCATATATTTTAAAGAATAGTAGAGATCTATAACTTAAACATAGTACTCGTGATTTATGTTTTGTCCTAGTAGTAGCGGAGCCCATGATACTAAATGGGGATTTACTCGAGCGTTATGGGGACCTATTGCATTTGAAAGATTAGGTAATAGAATGAATAAAAGTCATATAATGTTTCCACTTTCAGAGGTGGGAAAAGCTTCTACAAGTTTTCAAAAATGTAAGGGGAGGAAATCGAAAAAAAAGTTATTCGGGCGCATCAGATATTTTGGGGATATGTTATTTGGACTCCAATTAAAATGCTCCCATTAAAAGATCTGCTGATTTTAAAGTGACCCAAGCTGGTAGCGAATTATCGAAAATGCAGTCTGGAAATTTGAAAAATCGCCATTTCGAAATACCCGACAGTGCTAGATTTTATACAGACGGTTCAGCTTGATGTACCTGTCATACTAGCCAAAAATCTAACGATAATTTTGCAGGGTATTTTAAATCGGTTTGAAATATTGTTATTTTTTATAAAATGTGGCAAATAAAGGCACGAAAAGGGTTGTAGACATTTAAAGAAGATTTCTTCAATTCTTAAAAAAAAAATAACAAGGTAATGTGTTTTTTTTTTAATCTTTGTGACCCTCCTCCTGCTTTATGATACGATCAAAACGTCTGTTTTTCTTAGATACACACTAATGTGCATGTAATTGACTCAACTTACCTTAATCTTGCACGCTCGAGTATTTTAGGCCATCGTTTTTTTTTAAACTAATCTGATGGGCTGCCCTAGACGATCCCAACTATATGTAGGGCTTATGTATGGTGGAGGTACTCAACTAGGTGTAAAATTCCTCCTATCTTAATCTGACACGCTCGAATAAAGCCCGAAATCCTTTCTAGGGCTCCACTACTATAGGTAATAGGGGCGACCCTAACAATTATATCATACACTATACATATATATACTGCACTGAAGAATTTACTATCACAAATCTAAAAACAAACCATCATACGATTTGAAGCCAGACTCAGATCGGGGTATTCATCTGATATAAGTGCCATTACCAGGCAAGCAAAAGAAATTCAAAAAATAGGTACATCAGATACAAACTTTCCACACATAGTTGATATGCTTTGGTTGAGATTGAGATATAATACTAAGATTAAAAATGAAATCTGGACTTTTTAGATTCATAGTCAACGATCAAATAGAGATTTCTGACTAATCTTTTCATAACCACATCTGTTCTAATAAAACGCAATAAAGATCAAAGAGAAAACGTGGTTGATGCAAAATCGAATAAATAAACTATGGTCGTCACTTCAAATTCAATAGCTTTATTTCATAAAATTGGTCACCGATTATTCAAAATGATGTAAATTTTTAAATTGATTAATCAAATTAAATGTCATAAAAAAATGGGAAACAGATTATGCTGTGTCTGCCTGTGTCAATATATAACCGCTCGTTTCTTAATTCCTAATCTTAAGCGTTAAAAAATCAGAGCGTTAAATTCGTCTTAGTCCTTCTTCTACGAAAAGGCCATGACAGAACATTATAGAAATTTGATTAGAAAAAACATTTTAGACCAAACCTATACTTACGTAAGTCATTCTAACTCTCACATGAAAAACAAACAAGAATAGTTTTACTCGTAGAGTGAATTCGTGACAACCAATTTTCATTAATTTACAAGTTATTCTTACTGCGTATTGTAAGTACACATGCACATGTTTCTACGCAGTTATTTGGGCAATCCAGACAATGTATTTTTAGTAGTGAGGAAAGTATAGGTATTTTTTTAAATATACTACTATGTAGTTACTTACAGACAATCTGAAAAGAGTTTTGTCACGAGTACATAATAAGTTCACTGTGTCCCAGTTGATAAATAATGGGTACGCATCTATCGTCCCGATCCATAGCGCTCAACAACAAAGAGCAGAGACAGTAGAGCGATGCTGCACAGATGGCACAGTGGTTTAAGCGGTCACCTCGCCGCTATCTACTGCGCTAAGTGTTGTGGTTCCGATCCTCACATGTGACAACATTTTACACAAAATGTTGTCACATGTGAGGATCTACAAATTATTGTTCTGAGTCTAGGTGACCTATGTGTCCGTTTTATGATTTTTTGTAAATTCTCCCGCGACACAGGATATATTAATAGTTCGGGAGTTGTCAATTTAAAAAAAAAAGAAAAAAAAATCTTTAAAAAACATCAGAAACATCGGCAGAGACATGAACCATACTCTGATAAGTTGTGTAAGAACAAGGGTTTGTTTTGACAGCTTGCCAATCAGCCATCTAATAAAGTGACCCGCAAAGATATCCCATATAAAATAATATCATCCGTCAATGTTGCATACACTTCGTCGTTGTGCAAAAATATCAAGGTATATGGTGCCTAGTTAGGGTAATGACTGATGACTGCAAAAAACAATATAATGTCAAATTTTGTAAGGATCTATCTCTTTACTTACATTACTTTATAGTTTTTTATCACTTAACTGTATGTAATAAAAGGTTACTAACTTAAATATTCCGTTATAATAATTATTTAAAAAAAATGCTTTAAAATTTAATACAGTAAATTGACTATAAATTTAAAAGGCCTGCTGAAAAATAAGGCTTATTTATACAGTTTTTAGAATTTTCTATAGACTTCATCACTTCATTTTAAAAATAGTCAAAAGTAATTCAAGTTTTGATATTTCTACCTTTTTGACTTATGTCAATTGAAATCGAAAGATTGTTCATTGAGTTCAATCTACTTAAATTCTATTGTAATACCTAGACCAGAAAACTGTTAAGTTGTAAACCATTAATACTATAACTAAAATATACCAAAATATAGCCAAGACATTTCACAACCTTTACAAATGTAACCAATAATTTAAAAACACATCGAGGAATACAAAAAATAATCGAAATCAGTTCAGTTCTAATGTGTATATTAATCGTGTAATGACAGTTTCCCATTAAAATAATTAATTAATTATTTAATTTAACTTAGTACAAAAGATTACTATTAAAGACTGGGTGTTGCTAGTGTTACTTTTCTATCCCTCGAGAACATTACTTTGAACCCCCGACGCAAAAAGAGGGGTGTTATAAGTTTGAAAGTCTGTCTTTGGCATCGTAGCTCCTAAAATAATGGCCCGATTATGACCTTTTTTTTTGTTTGAAAGCTGACGTAAACAAGATAATTCTTAACTATAATGATCTCTGTCTCTATCAATTGATAAATAGATCTCTTAAGCGTTTCATAATCATCAGCATATATTTCCTTCTTTACTAAAAGTGTCTTACTTGTTGTCTTACTTACTTTCACAGATCCGATTGATTTGAAATTTGTAGGTACTGTTACTACGGTGGTATTTTCAGGTCATAAAACTTTGAGCTGAACCTGTAGTATCAATTCCAAACATTTGCAGAAGATATACCGTGTTTGGGTTCATAAGAATAGTCTCAATGAGGTGTTACATACATAGGTCGGAGGTTGATTATTTTTTAAATTTAATATTTTTTTGAGATGAAAGGTGTGTAATGATGAATGGTCCCATCCTCAGGGACGTCCTAACATAAAAAAAAACACGATGATTACCTAAGCCTTTTAGCTCTTAAAGCGTAACGAACAAGTAAACAAAGCAACAAACTCACTTTCGCATTTTGATTTTTTACATATTGTGAAAATGTAATACCTACCTACATAGCGAGCTAAATTAAACATTATTCTTTTTATTATCTTGAGCTTTTTATCTAACCCGCGTACCTACCTTTAACGTTCAAAGCCTTCTAGATCCTACTTAATAATGATTATGTGGTTTTACGAATAAAACATGAGATGTTTTATTATTAACTAAGTATAGCCGAGGGCAGTATGTAATACCTTTTTAAAATTTCCCCCCCTTGGGCTTTGCTCACTTAATAGGTAGGTAGGTACCTAGTAATATGCCTGCCCTTTTATATATTTATGATCCCAGACAACACGAGAAATATTATGATGATCAAATAAATGATAGGCGCATAAAATACGAACTAACATTTACCTATTGATTTATTTATTTTTATTCTAACTGACCATAAACTATTTGAGTTACTACTCAAGTAAATAAAAAAAAACCCAATAATATTCATTTTTTTTTTTTTTTTTATGGGACTAATAACATGATTTCAGTCATTAATTATATTCCTACAAATAAATTAAATTACTATAATTATTACAGTAATTTCATATGAAATGTTAGATTTCGACTCATTCCGACAAACCATTGCTCGTAAGGCTAAAAAATCACATAAAACCACAAACCGTGAAGTAAAACTGTTTTGCTGATCACCGGAAATCTCGATAGATAGCCGTAAAAACGTATGGTATTAAATAGATAATAAAATGTTTAGGTAGGTATGCGCACAACATCGCATTAGTTAATGTTAAGATTCGAGTTGTTTATTCACCGATGTTTACATGCGGGTAAATCAGGCGTGTAACTCGGGAAACCGTGAATAATCATAACAAACACTTTCTTTGAGTACTGAATTAAACTGTTCATTATCAAAATATGTTTCGAAGTTTTACGAATATTTTCGAACGAATTAAAAATACAAGAGGAATGTTTATGTAGTTTTATACAGACTGCATTTGTTTCTAATCCATCAATACCTCAATGATAAATCAATTTATATATTTTATTGAAAAGATCAGTCATTTCCATAAACAGTCTCAGCTGTATTGACTACCTACCTCGAAATCGGTACATTGTGTCGAGCTGCTCTTTCAACATCGATAGCGTTATCTACAGTACCTTAGGGTAATGCAGGTTTATTAGCGCATGAAAGCACAATTAATAGATACACAAACGAGTTCAGGTGGGGTTATGAAAGCATCCAGAAGGTACATTACCTATAACGATTTTGGCCAGGTTAACTCGGGAGAGTCGTATAGGTACATAATCATCTACACACTAAACATCAAGTGAATGTCTGTGAAATTGTATACAATTGATATCTAATTAAGCAGATAAGTGTACTGTTGTTATTGCTACAGAGAAGAAAGAAACATTTGCACACAAAAGTGGTAGGATAAGTTGAAGTAGTACCTCGCATCTGGGAGGGGTTCCTCCAATCCCGCACAGCGACACGCGCCTGACGAGAGGGACGTCTCTTCCCATGGACACTTTCGCACATCTCTACACCCGGCCCCGGTGGACTCGTAACGAGTCAATTAACACTGATTACCGCTAACTTGACCTCTGTGTGTCTCCATTGTGTGCATCTCTTCGACTGCCTTTGGGAATAACAAGCAGCTGTAACGCTATCTCCAAAATCTTACTATTCTAGTACCTATATTTATTAATCGATAACCCTATGAAGTCGTTTTACGATGTTTATTGGAAGAAAATCGTTTAAAACCCCGCACAGATAAAGCTAGTTTCATTTATGTTTTACACATTGAATCAAAGTTCTAACTAATAACTACAAATCAGGTGAAATTGGTGGCAAATCAGCGTTCCGTAACTGTTTCTTGTGCCGTAACATACCTACTCGTCAAGTGGCTGGCTGGGCACCGAGCGAGCGCTCGCTCAATGAGATCGACCGATATTACATTATGTAACACCCATCTAAGGACCGCTACTTAAGCACTAATTTTAATCATCTAAAGTTCATCTAACTGCAATATTATTGTTACAAGTGCACTAGAGAGAGCTCTACGTTTAAGAAAACAAAAAAAACTAACCGATAGAGCATCGGAGCAGTCGGATGCGCAACACACGACCGTCGGTTACGGGTACACAGCGGGGCTTAAATACAGGTACAGTCCAGATAGTTGAAAGGATCGTGATGTAGTAAGCTCTACCCCGGCAGGATTATAACAACTGTTTTCGTACTCGATAACGTTACGTATCGTCATGAACGGAGGGCGGGCGGAAAGCGCGGGGCGCGGATAAGAGCGCGGCGCCGATCCCGGCGGCGACTCCGCAGAACAAAGCGCGGCCCAGCACTGGGGCAAGGGGCGCTCGACGTTGACGAGAGAGAGGTAGCCGCGACGCCCGATACTTTACCTAGCAGCGATGGAGCGGTGTGCGTCGCGGCCGAGAGGGAGGTGCGCGTAGAGTCGGGCGCGGTCGGTCGCTCGGTCAGCGGTCGCGTCGCGGCGCGGCCATGGCGGTGGCGGCGACGCAGCTTCGGCGACGACTCGCACACTGCCGCTGCGGGGCCGCGCCCGCTTCGCCGGAGCCCGGGCCCGCGCACGCGCCCTACTGCGATAGCTGTCCCCGCCCTCTCTCCAAATTGATCAGCCGGATCCTCGATTGCAATGAAAATTATGACAGGTCGTGGATCTACTATCGACTTGATATCGCCAAAACCACCGAATTGAAACCACTCGGATAAAGGCACAGATTTTTCGGTCGGTAGTTAATTACATCCAATGGAACAGATTTCATTTAATTGTAACGCTGTAAAAAAACAGTACTTTTTGCACTACTCCACTCGACTCAGTCTCCACAACAGTGATAAATGTTAGTGTATTAATGTGTAATTAGAAATAAATAACTTAATCCGATAATAACCGTTCCTTAAGACTAAGATTGCTGCAATTCAATCAAAGGCTACTATAATAATACCTTCACACATCTCACACGGCCGTGTGATCCCAAACTATGCAGAGCCTGTACTATGGTATAACTAGACTGCTGATAAACATACTCATATATTTCTAAATACACATAAAGTAATATATATTTTATATAAATTACACCCAGACACAGAAAAGAACCAGAACAAAATTAAATTAAATACACAGAGGACTGCTCTCATTCTCGATGTATTTTGTAATAATTAGATTTAAATTACTACCTTAAACAATGCAGCATGACGGCACCATAGCTATAATACAAAACACTTCACCAAACTAAAATAAAACTACCTACCTACTATTAAGTTCAGGGCGCTTTCCAAAATAGCGCAACTGGAATAAATCTAATTAACGATCAGGTGTACAAATAAGCAGCTGAAATAACAACGCACGCTGTGTGTGTCACAACGTCTCCTAATATTCATTGCTTCTCTTAAAATTTTTACCGGATCTCCGCTAAACAATTTTGAATAGGTCAAAGAATTTTATAAATTAGAGTACCTAACAATTCTAAAACATAAGTATTTCCGGGGTTCATGTTTTAAAGTAATCAATCAAAATTTTAGGGAGATCTTGAAAAGTTTTCGTCTGCATGATAAATATGACATTTCCTAATATGAATGAATTAAATTATAAAAAAAAACCTGCAACATAAGGCTGTTATTTGTTTCAGATACTCTTCCACCTCAAGTGGTCCTATAAATTGAGATAATTTATATCCTACCCCACGAAATTAAATCACGAATGTTAAATTACAGCATCAAGAACATATATTGACGATCAAATATAATAAAACTCCTTTAACATTGTTACAAAATAAGAGTATCTTATATAGGTAGATGGTGATTTTAGATGGAATGATGGATTGGTGTGCAAATTTATTGAGCTTACACTTTGAGTGTATAAATAAATAAATGCTATATTCTCTACACGGTAGATAGGTGCGTATTAAATTACTCCCACATATTTTCTTTGCACTTTGCAAATCTATTTATCAATTCACTGGTATACCAATTATTTAGGTAATCATAAAGAATGCAGCTTAAATCATTCCATTTCAATTTCCAAAAAAACTATTAATCTTTATTATACGCGGCGGCTTCACTGTTTGCAGGCGTCAGTGGAATTTAATAAGGACACGCATGGGTCAAAACGACAAACAAAACATATATTTTTTATAGATTAAATAATCCGATATTACCTGTCGACTGCACTGATGGCGTAGTAGTTTGAGCGGTCGCCACGTAGGTTCCTACTACGCTGAGTGTTGTGGGATCGATCCCCACATAGAACAACTTGTACACAGCTAGCTTGGTACGTAACTTGAGATCGTGCGATTTTCAAACACGGTGGTTGAGTCTTAGCAATCCTTGCAGATATCACAGACTCGAGACGATTGTCACTACGAACGAGACTGCCAAGGTAGCGGAAAGTTTCTACCTCATCTGAAGCTATACCGCTTGGGTAAACAGACGCATTGTCCGCAGATTGTCCTTTTGCAGGCTGTTTTAGAATCTAGGTCTGATTACCAAGCCAAATTTGCGGCACTATTCGTCTTAATTGTCGAGACATTCCTGGAGATCAGCAAGGCTACCAGCCATAAAACAGGCATCGTCGGCATATTGAGTTTCGGTAACGGGGACAGTAGTGACTTTGCGTTTTGCTTTGAAGCGCGATTGGTCGAATACTGTCCGAATCTGTCCATGCGAACACTGAGGGTTTGTCCATTCCCAGATTTCTTAATGACGTCATTCATTACCGCAGACAAGTAAATGGCAAAAAGTGTAGGTGCCATGACACAGCCCTGTTTAACGCCACTTGTTACTGGGAATTGTGTTGTAAAGCAATTTTCAAACTTTGGACAATTGGCAAATTTTGGTGCACACCCATACCTCTCCCGGACAATCCAAAGGGCAGCCCTTGGGACACGGTCGAAAGCCATTTCGAGGTCGACAAAACACATATAGAGGGCGCAATGCTGTTCAAGGTATTTTTCTTGAAGCTGTCTTAGAACAAAGACAGCATCAACTGTGCCTCTATTTGGTCTAAAGCCACATTGGCTTACAGGAAGAAAACTCTCAGCCTGCTTAACTAGGCCATTAATAATATGCGCCATTATCTTGCCAGCAGCAGACAGCAAGGCGATGCCTCTATACGAGCTACAGTTCGAGAGGTCACCTTTCCCTTTGTATAATTTGCTTATAGTGGCATCGTTCCAGTCCTGTAGAACCAATTCCACTTCCCATATTTGCAACACGAGCTCAAACAGCTGGGTCTTGATGTTATGCCCTCCATACATAAAGACTTTTGAGGGTAGACTGTCAGAACCCGGTGACTTTTTCAAGTGATTTATAGCTCGAATGAATTCTGAGAAAGACGGCGGATCTTCGAGATCAGGGCCGGCAGTTTTCAAGAGAATGTTCTATAAGATTACGTTCGTTTAAGTTCTTAATCGCGAACCCAACACCATTTGGACCGCGTTCCGACGCGGGCTTCCCTGACCAGAAATACGTTCAGAGCAAGAGAGCAAGATACAAGCGCCTCGCAAGTTCCCCGCTGCCAGCCAAGTGTGTTTGGCTAATTGCGGCGATGTCGATATTATAACGGGAGAGTTCACGGAGAGTGCTGTCTTGCGCTCAGGATATCTGTTGTTATCGTTGTCTAACAGTGTTCTCACGTTCCATGTTGCTATATTGATACTGTTTTAAATACGAGTATTTGTACGTTCTTTCGACCGCATAAATCTGGTGACCGGACGATCGCGGCTAACCATCTGGTTGAAAGTGAGACGGGCTTTGTTTAGACCACCTTTTCTAGGCCCCTTCCTGGATTATGGAAAGCAGTGCTGTCCGGCCGGTCATCGTCTAGTGGGCAGGGCGGCAGCACGGGACCCGTTCCTTCCGACTGAGGCAGGTCCTTTCCGGGCACGGCTGCTTCGGAAGGTACCTGCACTCGGTTGGTAGTTCCGGCTGAGGGCTCCACGTGCTGGTTTTGCCGCCGTGGATGCGCTCCAACCGGTCATCGTCGAATGGGCAGGGCGGCAGCACGGGACCCTTTCCTTGTCTGTGTCACCTTTCCGTTCACGGCTGCTTTGGGAAGTGCCTGTCACTACTGCGATTGCAGTGAGGACTCGGCTCAGCACACGCTGGCAATTTGCCCGGCTTGGGCGTCGCAGCGCCGGGTTCTCATTGCAGTCATCGGGGGGATCTCTCGCTACCGGCCGTCATACGCTCCATTGCCCGTAGTGTCAGATGTTTTACCGCAGTCGCATCCTTCTGCGAAGACGTCATCTCACAGAAGGAGGCCGCGGAGAGGGCCCGGGAGGACAACATCCACTCGGACCAAACCCGTCGCTATCGAACCGGGCGGCGGTCACCACCTCATGCCGCCCTGAATGTGGCCGCGGGTGGACGGGAGGGGTTTTCCCCTCCACCCGCATAACGGCCAGCCGCGAGGAGGCTACGTTCGAGTATGCCGGACGCTGGCTCAGTTGGCCCGTTGGCGCAGAGTGGCACACCGTGTGGTTTTAGTCGGTCCGATTCCGACCCACCACCCCGCCGCAAACTCCGGTGGGGTGACGGCCCGAGAAGGTTGCCACACGTAAAAAAAAGGGAAAGCAGTGCTGTCCCTAAATAGGGCTGCTTTGTCGTTGAACCAGCTGTCTAGTCAGCCTCCCGTCTCAATTGAGTCCCGGAACGACCATAACCTTTCAATCGCCCACGTGCAGAGAGCCAACTCACCACTTCAATCCCACCCACCAGTCTCCATCGCCGCGGAGCTTGTAAAGTCGGAGTCTTATATATTGCCAGGGGTCATCAGCGCGGGATAATATTAGAGTGGGTAAGTACGTGCGCAGATACAAATTCATTCTCTAGCCTCCTGTTTCTTGTCCGAAATAGAAGGCGAGAGATGTGGGATCGAGTGACCGAGACAACCAGCCAGAAAGAGAAGATGCAGTTAATGGCCGCATGTTACTAAAGGATCCAAACATGCGCCCTGTAGGCATATCATAGACCCTGCTACAACGCTACGATTGCCGAGTCGGTTGCCGTACTGGCTAGATTCGCTTCTCGAGCCATTGGAGATTTTAAACACTGTGTGGAGGACCTACCACTTTAGACAACACTACGAGTCGTAGTTACAGTTTCGACGGAAACTAGCCGACCGACGGGTCTGCACGGTTTCCCGGGGTGTGGCCACTGTGTGCTTAACAGTTTCTGGGAGCCACCAGTGAAGAGGTTTATGAAGCATTAGCTGTATTGTTGTCTATCATTTACATTACCGGTAGATCGACCGTTAGTCAAGTAGAAAATGGAGAAGGTGCTACTGATAAATGCTGCACTGACACCCCATTGATAATATTTTATTACCAGATAACCATCTAAATAAGGAGTAACTTAGGCTATTTTTCCTCTCAGAAAAACTCTATAAATCGTGGTAGAGCCATGTTTCGGCACATGCGGACCCTCGATAGGAGTAGCACGGCCCCACAGAAAACCGGCGTTATTTTATTGCTTCTCTCAAAATGAGTAAGGTTTACGAAAATATCCCTTTTAAAAACTAATATTGATAGAATTCCAAACGGTAAGTTAATGAAAAAGTAATCAAATCTAAAAACACTGATATACCTGTATTTTTGACTGTTTTAACATTTTTTGTGGTCGTCCAATCTATTTAGTCATTTTTATTGGCATTAGATCGCGTCTGGTTTGGACAAACCTTTTTTTCCCTGTGTGGCACTAACCAGTGGGTGATAATGTCGGACTCGAACCGAATAAAAACCAGGTACCAGTAGCCGGGGAACCATGTATACCCTAGAAAGGAAGGTCTTGGTACGGATGTTCCCTTCCTGCCCCCGAAGGGCGTGCGCGCTCCGTAGCGCGTCGCGCCGCCACCCACCCCGGGTTTGGACAACCCTGCTCTAAATTCTGCTTTGATAGCAATTTATCAGGCGACGAAGCAATGTAAAATGTAATATAAATTAGATTTTGGGATAGTTTTAGTGTACCGTCTCTCTCATTGTTGTTGTCAAAGATGCCGCTGTCAGTGTCGAAGCCAAGACTGAAAAATTGTAATTCATTGTGTCATTATTCTGATTTCTAAAAAAAAATTTAGGATACGCGTGTAGGTGGAAGTTAGATTTAAAACTTCTAGATTTTATTTTGATATTCGTTGTGGGCGAGGCTCAAGCTTTGATAGGCATCACGCGATTCAGCAGTTTCGCCACAAGAACTATTTGGTCGATACGGTCTGCCATTTGGCGTGCTAACCACTTGCTGCGATTCACTCGCAATTTATATCTAGGCGTTTATCATTAAATAGAAGTAGCACGCGAACTTGCTTTCCGGCAAGGTAACCTATAGTTATTACCTTATACTACAGTGATCCGAGAGCATACTGTGTTTTATTTAATATGTTTACTACCTTAAGAAATTAAAAGAACATAATGATGTAGTTTTAAATCGAGTACTTACTACCACTACTAAAGTAGAATGTAGTTACAATAAAAGAATAAACATTTACCTATTAGATTTATAAAAATGTATAAGCGACTTTACACTACATTTATTACATTACTATAATATTTTTATGTGTACATATTGTATGTGTGTAATTTTTAGATAATCATCATCCTCTCCTTAGAAAAGAAGTTTTCGCCTACTAGCTACTATACCACATATAGCTACTATACACGTAATGGGTTTGTGGTTGTGTGGGTAATACCAACCCGTCTGGCGGACACAAAACCCATTACCAAGTTTTCCTTCTCTTTGCATTGCTGTGTCCTGCGTAGTTTGCTCCCTTACTCGTCTCTTACGACACCCATGGAATGAATAGGGATGGTGTCGTGACACTCCGTGTTCTTAATTCGTCACAACACGTATAATTTTACGGATGGCGTAGTGGTTTAAGCGGTCACCTTTCTACTGCGCTAACTGCTACTGCGCTTTCTGCCGCTTTCTATTGCGGTTTCGATCACCACATGGGACATTACTTTGTGTGATCCACAAATTGTTGTTATGAGTTGGGATGTTCTTTGTGTCCGTTTCATGTATTTTTGTAGAGTTCCCCGTAACACAGGATTATATTCCTAGAGCGGAAGTAGTCTCTAAAAAAAAGAAAAAAAAATTAAATCTGTTCTGTTCTTTTAATTTATTTTTCATATTTGTGTAAATTATATTTTTGTTTATTAGTCTGAAGTTATTACACCACTTGCCAAAGCATTACGGCATGGTCGGTCCTGGTTGTCTAGACCGCCCATCATACTGTTTCTTCACTTTCTTCAGATTATCCCTAAGGCAAAGTAGGCACGTGCCTAGTTGCGTGAATAAAAAAATATAGAATATTTACTTAAAAATATATACTTATGCCTAACATAAAAAAAACTGTGTCACAAAAATGCAGTTGCTATAACTGCAGCTGTAGTTGAGATTACTGTATAAAGTAATAGACCAGGGTTGTTCAGTCAATGGCACTATACGGTGCACCGGTGTGGGGGGAAGCTCTGACGCCCAGAATAATTCGTGCCTCTAGCACCCTCGGAGGGTGGAAGAGGAAAACTGGCTTTGGGGTCGTGCAGTCGCTCAAGCCGGTCATCGTCGAGTGAGCAGGGTGAGAGAACGGGACTTTTTCCTTCCTACTGACGCAGGTTCTTTCTGCGCACGTCTGCTTAGGGAAGTGACACCAGTCGATGGCTAGGAGTGAATGGAGTTGCACCTGTCACCACTGCAGTGAGAACTCGGCTCAGCACACACTGGTCAACTTAGCGTCGGGCGCTCATTGCAGTCATCGGAGAGAATTTCTTGCTACCGGTCGTTACACATTCCACGGCTGGCGCGCCTTCCAGCGCCTCATGCGGTGGACAGGTTTTCCCCTCCACACGCCAAGGAGGCATAACGCAAGGAAGTGACGTCCTTTTGTCTTCTAAATAAGAGTTTTTCCTCGAAGGTGGTGCCTGAGTTTTTGAAGACCAGGTGCTAGGAGGGGCCCGGTCATCTAATAAAGTAGGAACGATCTCGGTCGGCGTGAAATTTTGTACAGTGTTCCGCAGGGGTCGGTGTTCGGGTTGCTCCTGTGGAACAACGGCTAACACTGGGTGCTCCGCGGTGCCTTCTTGGATGATGTAACGTGCTACGCAGACGACATACTCTTGATGCACACCATCAGTAAGGCGCACCGTGAGTCGGATCCGACGACTGGATCTCGAGTGTCACTGCACAAATACGTTATACGAGCGTGGATACGGCGCTCCACACGCTGCTAGAATGCCCGGCGCGGGTGGAGCAGAGGCGTGGCCTCGTGACGGCTATCGAAGTGAGGTTTCCATATCTCGGTACCATGATTACGGCCATGGAAGCGAAGTTATGCTCGAGAAGGAGAGGTGGAGCGGAACATGAAAAGGCTTAGAACTCGCCCGGTCCGCCAGACCTGAGTACGGGCCTCTTCGGGAATACTAACAGTAACGGGAATACTTCATCCGACTCAAGCGCCGGAGGTTGCTGTATGACTTCGGTCCTTTAGAAGTGCAGGTCTTGGGGTGATAGGTGAGGCCAACTGTCATAAAATAAAAGAAAGGTCCGGACTTCTTAATAAAAGCTGTTTAACGGATCCCTCCTATTTCAGGCGCAGTTTACATAGGTACATTACATACCGACACACCACACACACCGACGGGGTGACAGCCCATGGGGGTTTCCACTGGTGAAAAAAAGGAATGAAAAATAAAATTTAAAATTATCACTATCAAACATTTAGTAACGTCAACTAGTAGCTATTAATAATATAGTATGCGGCGATAGAGATGCGGGAGGCGTCGATATGAGGCTTGCCTAGGGCGCTCTTGAAACTTAATCCGCCTGTTTCCTAAAATATTTCTAGATTGTACAATTCTATTTATGGCTGCAATAAAGAGCATTAATCTAAATTTCACCTAAAACATGATAAATTTTAATAAACTGTGTTTTAAATGTCATTTTCTTAAAATTTAAATTAAACCAACCTTGAGCATAACCAACTCAAACACGATATTTAAATCGGTTATTTCCGCGTAACACATACGTGATGACACGTGAAAAAGAAGTCATCTGTATGACATAATAATTTGTGAGTTATTACTAAGCAATGAATAGTTTGTGATTTAGCTAGCTTAGCATCTGTTATTCCTTCGAAAGTTAAATATTGACTTAAATATTATTGAACGGAACCTAGACAATGAGAAAATACGTTCATCGCTAAAAACGAATCACATCAACGAAGCTCTTATTGTGTTCCAAGTGGCCGTGGCCGAATGCGATCTGGACGAAGTATTATACTTAGGTAGTACCTAGTCAGAGTCGAGGGTTCTGGCTAGATATGAGCGAATAATAGGGGTTAAAGTTTGAAAACGCCGTTGTATACTAATAACAAATACTTTGAATTGACATAAAACCTTCATGGTGTGAGATTTTCGTGTAAAACTTTTTTGACATGATACTTATGAGGTTTTTCTTTTAAAATATGTGCAACATTCGATTATCGACGTTCAATTGTTTTTTTTTGGACAGCTTCGAAAATGCGAGTCATTTTTGAATAAGAGTTCCGAGGCGCTACTAACGCGGCAGAAACGGCTCACAATATCACCGCTGCCATTGGAGAGGAGACTGCGAATGAACGAAACGTGCATTTTTGGTTTAAACGCTTTCGTACCTTGAAAAACGAAACCACGTGGAAGACCGCCTACGCAGGTAAATAACGCTGAATTGAAGGAGATGGAGGAAGCCAATTCGAGTCAAACTACCCAGGAATTAGCGGCATGGTGTAACGTTAACCCACCGACAATATTAACTAATTTGCATCAAATCAATAAGCTAAAAAAAAGAAAAATTGACGAATCTAGATTTATCGTAAAGGCATAAATGGACTATTATGGACTATAATTAGGGTAAATATTTTGATGAAGTAAATATGTTACATCTTAGATCTTCTTCTCTATCTATCTCTTATCTCTATCTATCTTAGAAAAATCCGAGTTTCAATTTTTCAATACAAATCAGCAACGTTATACTAATAGGTGGAATATTTGTTTTATGTCGAAACGACTTTATTACATTTTGGTACATCTGGCTCGATGGTGTAGTCCTAGCGTATGCGACTGCTGTGCTGAGGACTCGGGATCGATTCCCGGGTCGAACTAAATGTTTGTATGATCTGCAAATATTTGTTTCGGAGTTTTGATATTTTATATGCATGTATTTACAAAAAAAAAGTATATAAGTACTCTATCAGTCAATCTCTATCAATCAATGTTACTGCTTACCATTTGAACATTCAATGAAAATAAATGCTTTCTACAGTAAAATAAATGTTCTATTTCTGTATTGGGTGTAGAAATATGGAAATGACTTCCATCAATGCAACCTATCACTTCAATGAAACTATACTTAGCAAAGAATCTGTAAAATAAACAACATTTCAATAAGATAACAGCTTACATGGTGGCTCATGATTGTATGAAATAAAATTAAAATAACTAGACATATAATTAAAAATTTTCAAAGTAAATAATGGTCTCTGTGTATAACATGTATGTTTGTAATGTATAAAAACCAAGTCATTATAATTCATTTTAAAATTATGGTAAAAAAAAAAATACTGATTTTTTACTATATCCCTTTCATTCTGTCTGCTGTGTAACCCCCTCTATCTAACCATATTTGATACGAGCCTAGCAATGCCGCTTTGGATATTCGTTCAAGAAAAGAGCTTACTGAAGCAAACCAAGGTCTTTAAGCAGGTTATAGAGGGATTTAGCTGGTATACCCCTCGCACCCACTTCCACGGCATATAACCCAACGAAATAACCATTTTTAGTTATTTCTTTGGTTAAGTCAACCTACTTTTTAGCTTCAAGCGATATATTTTGAAATTCGTTGTCATTTATATTTAAAGGACTAGCTGGTGCCCGCAACTTCGTTTGCGTGGAATTTGAAAAGCGCTGCCTTAGGGGCAAAATTTTATGGCCTAAATTACTCCATATATAGACAGCTACCTGGTAGTAACATATTATCAAAATCGGTCCAGCCGTTTTGAAGATTACCCGGAACAAACAGATAGACAAAAAATATTTAAACTGGTTTTTAGGAGTGTGAGCATGAAAATAACCTATTATTTTACATTACAACACTTCAATTGTTCTTCACTTTTATCTTTCTTTGTTTATCTCTGCGCCTTATTTCACTAAGAAAATAATTAATTAGTTTAATATACATAGGTACATACTAAGTATACTACATTTTATTAATATAGTAATGTTCTGACAAATTTTTAGTTTACACTTTATAGATAAAACAAGATGTGCTTACCTCGAATGTTGTTGAATTCCCTCATTTTCAATTAAACTTGCGACAAGAACATACATAGGACTAAAGCGGCGGTCTTTGCATTTTATCTCCGCCAAAAATAAACAGTTAATACTTGAAAATAAGTTTTAAAAGAAATGAAATGATTGTTTCGAAACTTTTTTCACGGCCAAATCTTAGGTGAATTAACATTCGAATAAGCTCGACAGGTGCTCAGTAGCCAGCCTTGTACGTCAAAATTTTATTCGTGCTGCTAATTTTCTTTCAAAGTGTCACGTATCGAATGCTTGACGAGACGGTTACGATACGAAAGTAAATTCGAAACGTTCGTGCTGCCAAAATTTGTTACTTTTACGCACGATAACACGTAACTGCACAAATCTCATACAAATTTTAGTGTAAACGAATACTTTTTGCAAGTTGTTCGTGCTCGGGGCACAGATACTTAACGATTTTACTGACGCCACGGCGTGTTACAAAATTTAATAATGAAACTTTGTCATCTGCTCACCATCAATGAGATAAACAACCCAAAATGCAGTCAAGTGCAATGCAAAATGAAGTCGTAAAGTGGAAGAAACCTGTATCAACTAACTTTTAATTAAAACTGACGTACGTACTTGGTAACCGTACGTACAGTTTGAAGACACCTATTCATCCCGTGGGTGTCGTAAGAGCCTACTAAGGGAGAAAACTACGCAGGAAAACAGCACTGCAAAGAGAAGGAAAACTTGAAACAAACCCTGTACCAACCTGTACTGTGGCCAGGGTGGTACAGTAGGCCAATACCTCCTTTCTAAGGAGAGGTCTATGATCAAGTGTACTATTAAAGGCTGTTGAAAATGACGACATCTTTCATAAATAAAACACAATATATTAATCAGTATATTGTGTATATCATTGTGAATTTTATGAACTATGATTTTTTAATTTAATATCTTATATAAGTACTATAATATAAAAAAAGCGTGTGGTAATTGTATAAGTATTAAATAATAAAAGGAAACATCTGTCTTTTTTTTATTATTTTTCAGGTAAAACATTAATACATAAACGCAACAATAGCTAATAAACATACATAATATATCTCAAAACATACTAATAACAATATGTAACAAAGCGAGTACCTATAATGTATTTCTAGACAGTTTGGAATGGTAATACTTAAGAATTATGTACTCAAACAATTTTATCACAATTATATTGTCTTACGAATATTCAACGGATTTTGAGCCTTAATAACAACTGATAAACATTTAATTAAATCTTAGTATTGAAATACATTGTAGTAAGCAGATAAGTAATATGATTATTACTCATATATCATATCAATATGAAATATGATAGGGTGAGAAATATTTGCATACATAGTATACGTGTAGACAATTAATTGCAATATACTAATGATAGGCGTGAAATACTTGTTTGGTGTTATATGAAAATTAAATTAATATCAGTACCCTTGACCAATAGCTTAGCAATATATTACTTAATATTACCATATTACCATGAATATATTAATGAGACTAAGTATCTTAGTATGTTTGCACCCTAAAGGGTGATATTTTCATTATTAAGGCCAGCATATTATCGGGGTATAGTTTTATGTAAATAATTATCTTTTCTTTGTCATTACACATATAAATGTATAGATTTCTGACTCAACTAAATATGTATAATGACTATAATCCGTTTGCGTTAAGAAAATAATCAAGTCGGATCAAGTCCCGCAGCCTGCCTCCAGACACCACTCAGATTCCAAGGTTTCGTACGAAACAATAATTTAGTACTGCCGCTGCGCTGTAATGGACTAATTATACCGCTGCCTCTACACTGGCCTTAACATAAGTTACTTGTTACACCCTAGATTTGTCTGCTTTGATGTACTTGTCAAGATCAGCATCACTAGCGGGATCAACTTGAGACAGCTGCCTGAAGCTCTCATCGTCGACAAAACATATCTCATGGCCGTCAGGGTCAGCCAGAATTATGACTCTGACTGTAGCCTTGCCGGGAGTATCCAAGGAGATGAGTGGAGTCAGGATAGTACGCTGCGCCTCTTGGATCTTCTGATCAATGATGGGCTGCTCGTCGAATGGGCAAGCGAACGCGATACGACCGTATGCCTTTGCTCGATTTACTGGCTCACCTAAACAAATATTAACAAAATAAGTACTGAAATTTGGTACAGAATACAAAAGAAATCACAGGGACTTCTTTTCGAGGGGACAGTTAAGGCGCTGTCTAAAAGAAACTGTTACGGAACATTAGGTGGTTTTGATGGTTTGTTCTGACAAACCGTCTAATTGTTTAACTTTGGCGAGTGGATCAAAACATCAATAACAGTTAAAAGTTTAAAGTTATAGCCCTCATAATACTCAGATTTTAAACTCAAAGTATTTTAAACTAGTTTACACTGTTATGGATTTCTTCAAATTCGTTGTTTGTAATGTGGGTCTCGCAGATTGATGGGAGTGTAATTGATCGGTATCAGGGCTCCTCCCAGTACCTAACGTAAATTTTCAATTGAGAATCTAATGCCATAACCATTGCAATAACCCTAACAAAAAATGTTTTTTAAACACACTATTATTTTAAATGAAAGTATATAATGTTGTCAAGAAGATAGTATTCTTATTTTCGCACATACATCAATGAAATGTCACCTTTTCGATATCAGATAATTCGAGTGCAACATATTTGTATATTTTATTATCTAACCTTAGTCTTTGAATAGCTATCTCTATTTAAATTGTAAACATATAGGCAAACAATTAGATAAGTGCCTACAGAGAATTATTATGACAACGTGCACGTACTATATAATATTTTCGAATGCAATTCTAGCAAAATATCTAAATAATACTTTTTTTGCATTAGAAAGAGGGGAAATACAAAAACCCATATTAAATTTAAACAAATGTTGGCATAATGTAACAAAACTACTTTCTAAATTGTTGTAGATAGATAGATAGAAAACTCTGTACACCGTTTTACAAGTAATATGATACATAAAAATATCGAACATGTAATGACAGAGAGCGACCTTATTGCTAAGAGCAATGTACATATATTATGTACATGATAGTGTATATTATAAATATATATATATATATATGACAGCACTGGTATAGTACATGATATTAGGCGTAAATCTATACACATGCAGTTTTTCTTAGCCAATACAGACATTTAGGCTTCATAGTACAGGGTTTTAAATCTATACATTGCCCTTAGACGCGTAAACTTATTTTTAAATACAGAAAATTCAGATATATGATTGCCACTGCTAAGTATGTATATCCATGCGGAAAACTTTGGATTTAAATTGTAATATAATTGTCTTTATATGCTTACCAATTTCAACAAGTTCCAGCTTGGCCTGATTTTCGTCGAAACCGAGAAGTACCGACTTAGATGATTTCTCAAAGATTTTCAAAGTAAGTAGACCGTTCCAGTACGCAATAGATTTCTCCAAATTTGAACTTGCCAGGGATACTTTGACTACCGGATCTATGAAAAATGGAAAATAGAAATATATATTACAGACATATTAATAATAAAACTAAAACTAGATCAACTTAAAAAATCGCTTCTTCAACGAGAAAATGCAGTGTTAACGACCGGTTGTCTGACATCACAACAAAACGCTCATCATGTTATCTACAAACGTTTAATTAATACATAACATTCCATCCCATCAATAGTTCTGAAAGATGTCTGTAGCAAAAAAATAACATACATATTTATTGTTCTTACCAATATAAAACAATTTCACATTCCGAGTGAGTGAGTCTATGCGTCATATTAATGTCCCCCCATTATATTAATCATAACCCTTCAATTTATTGATAATAAGACTTCAAACCTTTTTTTAACCTGGTCTCATTCGGTTTATTTTTTTTAAATATTTGTTACTACAGCACTTCGTCATTATTTAGCGATTTTGCAAAATCTTTTTTTTTTATTCGTATACTGCCAGTTTGGTGGATATTGTTATATTAAATTTAGAGAAAAAATTCCATTTGAAAGGGTGAAAAGTTTCAGTTTATCACAGTAGTCAGTCAGTAGTCTTATTACAGTAGTACAGTTTATTGAAGTCGTTGATACTTTTTATAAAGTTAAGTATTTTTTAATATTAGATGTAAATGTAAAATTAAAATGTTAACGAACATCATCATTCGTCTTTATCTCAATGTTGTCCGTACCGGAGTTCCAAATACTTGAAATACTGTTTATTGTTTTTAGTTTAGTAATAATAATAGATATCGATACTTTCAGCATTTGTAGAAAAATTAACGGATTTTAGGTATTGAAAAAGAGTAATCTTGTTCAGATTTCCTGGTTGCTCTTTTAAAGGTGTCATGAAAATTCGTACATCAATGTAGTTACACATATAGAGGCACTAGCTGACCCCGCAAACGTTGTTTTGCCATATACATTATGTCGGTTTACCATAGCAGTGCCATCTATTGATTACTTACTCAATCCAGTCGAAAAGTATCGACATCTGTTAGAATCTTTTGGAGTTAACAGATAATAGTGACTGTCAATTAATTATAGACCAATAATTTGCAATAAAATAAAATTGCGACGATAATTAAAGATCTAAGCTATCCTATCTCTTAAGTTGGACCAGACTGCTCACGGTGTGCCAATTTAATTTAAAATCGGTTAAGTAGTTTAGGAGTCCATCGCGGACAAACATCGTGACAGGAGATTTATATATATTAGATATCTGGATAATCTCTTTTCAAGCCGAACAACCTAAACAAGTCGTGCCTGTCTTGTTGTGTCAACAGGAAAACTTAAAATGAGTAAAGTGAATCAATTGTTGTGCAATGTACTGAAATTATTTAAGACTCATTCTTATTTTACTTCATGGAAATTTAAGATTATTAGGCATGAAGATAAGAGACGGTATTGTAAGATATCATCAAAATACTCTACAAAACGTTGTGTGCTTTGGGCAATTATATTGAATATTAAACTAAATATATTCTATAAATGTAGTTGAATTTCCATCAACCTGTACTTGTTATGGTTATTTGATGACTACGTGTGTATGTACGTACTTCCAAATAATAAACGTACTTTGCATTTTGGCGTTACCTAAATGTTTAAAATCTGTCAGCTAACTTGTATCATTCATTTACGTACTATATTGTTTGGTGTTTAAAGGTAAATAACAATTATTTTTAAAATAGTAAATAGCAACACTACTACACTCATGTAGCGGACAGTTAAGCAATTTAGTTGTACTTATTTTTAATGTTACTGTGACTCAAATAACAACCGTTTATCCTCATTAGAGATGCCGGTGCTAGAAAAACAACATAAATTGCTAAACCCTTTATATTAACGTAGAAACGCGTGTGGCATGGCTAATCAATGCTCCGTATTAAAAAAATCGGATCTTTGATTGATCAAAAATCTATTAGGCTGAAGATTTCTGCCGCATAGTTACTAAGTGGTTCAAAAATCTACCCTCTTATCGTTTCTAGACACGGAGGAATGGAAAGGCAGATATGCACCAATTATAATCAGTCCGTCGAATAATTTTTTAAACAGGTTTTTTTCACAATCCCGAAAGCTTTATTTCCATATTTTGGTGTTAGTTGAATTATGCATTTATAAGAAAATGTTTTAGATAGTTATAAACATAAGTGCTTCGCGTTATAAAAAGGACTCTTAGCAGCACCTATTTAAATATACAAATATATAGATATAGCGGCCGCTATATATACAAGATCATCAATAACTATCGTTTGCCCATTTTCTAATTTTATTTGCGGTCAACGCAAAGTGTGATATTGCAAAGATTACATTGAATATAATCGTTTTGAGACGGAACAAACAAGAAGTAAAGAAAAGTAGCATGAAAAAGACGAGGTCGCGTATGAACACCATCAAAAATAATTTACATAATGTAACGCTTAGTGGTAATGACACGCTTTGAAATTGTAAAACAAAAGTTATTTATATTATTTTAACACCACATTATTTTTGTAAAATGGGAAAAATTCTAAAACCTTAGCTTGGCACTGACTGTAGAACCAATTAGAAGCTAGTCATGCAGTTCGCTTGAATCTAAATGAGCACGTTTTGTTAAACAAATGGCTCATGAAACATACGCATTTATTCTAAAGAGACTTTTTGACTGAACCGTCATGTCTATAATACTTAGCGAGTGTCTTTATTATTTGATAGTGTTTTCCCGCAGCTCCACACGCGTGTATGTCGGTTATTGCGATAAAAAGTAGCCTATGTTCAGTGGTTTAGGAGAAGAAGAAGCGTAACAAACAAACATAACAAAATAAATGTGAGTGTGAGTTACATTCACATTTATTTAATAATATAAGTATGGATGTATGTATTTATAAGTTTATTATTATACTTATTTGGGTACATATTATAAAGGTTCAAATATACACCGGTCACACCCAGATCTGCATCACCCAAAACTTAACTTGAAGGAAATGCCCAACTACGTCATGCGGCATTAAGTCCGCCTTACGCAATGTATTACCAAGAAATATAAAAAAAAATGCTTTAGCCTACTGACCACATGACACAGTACAAAGGTCGATACCTATAGGTAGCATGCGTGCGACATCAATATAAAATCAACAAAACTTACAGATTACTGAATGATAACATCTCAAACAGATATTATCTGAAATATTAAATAGATAGCAGTCTTGTAAAATCCAAATATGATTATCGTCAACCAACTGTGGCTGCTGCGTCTTCGGTCTCGTGTGCAAATTTATATTGTAGAAAATAAAATCTAAATACTTGCCATGGAAATCGATGCACCCGTTCCAAAGACAAGCCGGTACAAATAGATATATTAACAAAGATTTTAAAAGTAGATTCTTTTAATCATTTTGATCATTCACAAGCATCGCGTAAATGCTATTATTTATACAATTACAGACATTTCAATAGTATTTATTTGTATAGATACCTATACATAAGTGTAAATTTATAGATAAATGGTGCAGATAATGTTGCGACGATACGTACTTAAAATAGATTTTATGGTTGTATTTTACTTACGTAGTGTTTTATAAAATCAAATAATATGACACTAGTCTCATTATGTGTTTCTACAATACTATTTACAAGATGAATATGATGTACATATGAATATGTACACGAATATTATAAACGTAGAAATTAGTACTTTGAATGAAGGAGATTTGAGAAGGATCTTTGAAACTACTGACACCACTCTATAAATTATTTTGCTAATATGAAACTATATCATTACTGAATGCTAGATTTTATTTTTTCGATTAAAATTATTCTAGTGCTACAAATCTTAACAACTTCGGTTAAAAATCTTATTCAATGATGCTACAGTTCGCGTTTAGCTTTTCTATTAAAATTCATTAACCTAAAAAAAACATTTAACACAATAAAAAAAAAATGTACCTAAATGTTGCATAAAGTCCTTTGTCAATTCAGTCTCGTGCAAAACAAATAAGTATGTCTGTATAATATTTGTAATAATCTAGAATAAAAACATTCAAGTCCTCACCTTTGTCTGTAGGCTGTGGTTTGTCAATTATGTAGAATTTGTAACCACCGGGTGCTTCAACATATTTCAAACCGTTATGTTCTTTAATTGGCCAATTGTTTGTATCTGCTCTTTTAAGGCTCTCACTTGACTGGATTGTCAGGCCAAGGAAATCATTTCCTTGTTCATAGTGTTGGATACCATAATTATATGTGAGTTCTACTACAAAATGTGTGTCTTCTGGACCATAACCGATCATGGTCTTGCTCCATCTGTTGGCGTAGGGTCTGTAAAGATAAATTATATACAAAATTAGTCTTCATGAGCTAAAACTGTATTCCCAATTACTTATTTAGACAATCACAAGCTTATGATAAAAGAATTTTATTATTATGGTACATGCAGATGTGGTGGAAAGCAATTAATTAAAAAGGAATCTTATTTTTAGTTCATATTAGTATAAATATCAAACAAAATGTTGAGCTGCAGTATGAATATTCCCAAGTCAACAAAATAGATTTTCAGAAGACTTCACTAAACCAGATCAGGCCCACTTGGCACTTTAGGCATGAAATATAATTATTATTGTAAAATACCTGTTTACATTGACTAATAAAATGATGCGATATGAAAGTGGATTAATTTTTTCTCTTATGGATATCTGTACATTCTGCAGATACAAATATGGATATCTAGCATTTCAATAATGAATATAAGTGTTTAGCACTGTGTGAACTGGATTGCACTTAAGTATGTGATAAGGAGCTGCTGTTTATGATTTCATAGAACTTCGGAATTGGTTGTTTTGTATGCTTGAATTACTTACCCATTGCATGCAGCTTCACAGCCTTCACTAAATTCTTCATGACGAAGTACCTGTTACAAAACAATAAGTTATAAAGTCTATATTCTTTAAATTCTGTAATAATATAATTAAATTATAACATAATTAATGTCAAAATAATAGCAAAAGTAGTAAAAATAATATAGACTTTTAAGATTTACATACTGTTCTAGTAATATATATATTTAAATTTAAGACATTTTTTAATAGTTGCAATGATTTCAATTTTTTTGTTGTCTTCATCTTTGATATCTGTCAGTTAACTAATAATTTTTAGTGATAGGAAGCAAACAACAGAGTTAAAGCTATGAAAATATTAAGTGCCAAAAACGATATTTGGGAAAAAAAATTTTGCTAATATTTATAGCTTTTCTTATCTGTCCCTTGATGTCAAAAATACAAACATCAAATTATTAAAAAGTATGTATATGTATTTACTGAGTAACAACCAATTTTTATCACACCTACTAAGATTTTTTTAATATTAATTAAATTGTCATATAAAAAAAATGTAAGTATGTTTTATAATTTAATGATGATGATACATTGTCCCGTAGGAATGGTGAATCAACTCGAATTTGAGTAACTCAAGTTTAATTGAAATATATGGTCTGTCATTGTGCAGATCTACCTACTTAATATTCACACAAGAGTTTGGTTTAATGTCAATGTAGTTAAGTGAGACCTACAATCTATAATCTTTGGGTATAATATTTAACTTTATATCCAAAGATTATGGTCCTGAAATATATAAAAATATTGGATTTTAGTTTATACTTCTACTTTTTTAAACATTTTGTACTCTTTAAACATTTGGTCTTCTTTTTCCAATTTGGATGTAAACATGGAAGTTACTTAGTTTCTCTAATAAAAAAGTCATTTATATAATCATTTTTTGGAACTTCATTTAATTTAATTCTTAAAGCTCGAACTGTTATTGTTTATAATTTTCTGGAAAGGTCCCATTTACTAAAACTGTGTGACAGTAATGACAATTTATACAATAATATAAAACCGGCTTTAAGATAAAAATATGACCTTGTCCTTGCTAGGTGGTTTCAAATGTAGAAATTACCTGAAGTTATTCTAGACACGTGTTATTTAATGTGCAATATAGTACCTTCATTCCAAGGATTTCCCTGTAGAACTTTGCAGTCAGTGTCCTATCGGCCACTTTGAACACAAAATGTAAAGCACGGCCCTTAACCATTTTGATTATATTTAATTAAAATTATTGAGATTACTGGTTTTTTACTTAAGCAAAATAATGATGTATATGATATTTAAAATATATTACGTCTCCAACGATCTTACAAGACGCTACTCTAATAAGATACTATTTTACGTCAACTAGTCAACTTGACATTATACGTAGGTAGTTCGTTATCTTGATCTTAATTTTATGACAGCTATTGGACAGTGTTACAAACTTTTAAACTCCATGTGCAGTAAGAATACTTAAAAAGTAACGCTAAACACAAGAAACACTGTTTCTTCGCTTAAAAGATACAAAAAAAAAAACATTATTTGACTTTTAAGATTTAGTTTAGTAAATCTTCAAACTATTGATTAACAAAATTACATCCAAACATCGGTATATAAAAAATCATTTTCTCTCATTTTCTTCTCCTAAATATTCACAAATAATTTGTATTATATTTGCAGTTAGCATTTGCATCACAGTGCATTATATTACATCATGTTTGTCGTTAACTGGGTGCTTTTGATTACAGCTATGTAATTGGTATTTTATTAATATTTCTTCGTCTATAGAATTCACTAAAGAATTTTTAAATGATTTTTTAAATATGAAATAACTTATCGCTAGACATGTCTAGAGACACGTCAATGATAGGTTGGTTGGGTATAGCATATATGCGTTAACCATACCATATTATAACAGTATTTTATGAGGAATGCAAATCCTTGAATTAAAAAATGGCTCCATTAAATTTTTAAATACTATTAAAGCGCTATTTCTTTTGTATCTTAAATAGAAAACACAAAGTATTGCATAAAAAAATCGAAAAGTTAAAGAAATGTGCAGTTAGGCAAGATTATGCGTTTAGAAAACTGGAAAGCTTGCTAAAAAGTATAATTTGGGCTAACTACAACAAAGGTCTTTTAAAAAACAAATGTTAGATACGAATTGTTTAGGGTCCCATTGTCAACAAGGAACCTTTATAGTTATAGTTTCTTCATTTCTGTTTGTCTGTAATAATAATATCGCTTTATTGTACGCCAGATATAAATATACAATAATTACCTACTTTAAACTAGGTTAGACAAGTGGCGGCCTTATCGCTCAGTGGCAATCTCTTACAGGCAACCCTGGTATACAGAGAAAACATGAAGGGGAAGAGGTATTGGGTAGTGGCTGGTATATTAGGAAATAGAAAAGAAGAGGAAATCAAAGTTGTATGTATAAAGATATAAAAAAGTGATAATTACACATAGTATCTATAGTTACGACTTAGATAAATTATTACATACTAGATATACTTTGTGCTGAATAATGCTAGTGGTGGTATGAAATATATAAAATTAAATTAATACGTGTGATTTATAAGTACTACACACGTTTATTATAAGAAATAATGTGACCTTATTGATTTAGTAGAAGTTAATAGTTATGGGACATTGATTTCTGCCAAGTAATATTCTTTCACTTGTTTCTTGAACGAAGCCAGTGTTTGTGCACGTCTGATTGCGATCGGTAGGGCGGTCCACAACCGAACCGCTGGAACAGAGAAGAAGACAGGAAGCTGATCTCAATAGTTTAGGGTGTGTGTCATTCAAGAACGTAAACCGTGATTTGAGGTAACGTATAGTAAAAGGATTAAATAGAATATTATAAAGAAGAGAAAGAACATGTGCATTACGGCGAAGGCGAATGGGTAACCACTTGAGATTCTTGCTATATTCAGAAACATGATCATATTTGCGAACTCCAAATATGAATCTTGTGGAGATTTTGAAGTCTCTCAAGCTTATTCAATTTGTTTTTGGTAAGATCTATATAGCTGACATCAGCATATTCAAGGATGGGGAGAAGAAGGGATTGTGCAAGAGCAATCTTAGTTGGAGTAGGTAGAAAGTTGCGTAGTCGGCGCAAAGAGCCTGCAGCGGCAAACATTTTGGGACTAAGGTCTTGTAACTGAGGACCCCAAAATAAGGTACCACTGTATCTATCTTGCTATCTACTTGCTATCACTGTAAATCCCCAGTTTTTTGACCTTAGCACTGTACGGAATAGGTGTGGCATTGCAAGTGTTTTGAAGATGTTTTGTGCAGTCAATTTTGGAGATCATTCTCGAACTTCCAACGACAATGACCTTGAGTCTTAGTTGGGTTGATTTTCAGACCGTTGGTTGCTCCACCTACATATTTTATCTAGGTCAACGTTTGTGGTGCTAACAGCATCAGCCAGATTAACCAGTGTAGTCCTAGAATAGATCTGGATCCACGTATACTCGTAGGTGGTAGGAAGAAGATAAATGAATAGTGATAGTGTTGATAAAAGCAAAGAAAAGTAGGTGAGATAGCACGCCGCCCTATGGTATACCGGCTGTAGTACTACACCAAGAAGAAACAGTGCTTTCAATACTTATGCGCTGCCGGCGACCAAGCAGGTAGTTGCGAAACCAGTCAATTGCAGTTGGAGATATGTTAAGGGAACGTAATATATACAGCAGAATGTCAAAGTCGACAGTGTTGAATGCATTACTGAAGTCCAGTAGTGTTAGTACTGTAAGTTTGCCGTTCTCCATAGCAGATCTGATATCCTCAATAATATTACTAGGGTAGTAGTGGTACTGTGAACAAGTCTAAAACCGTACTGAAGAGTATTTTGGAGCAGGTTCTCGGTTGAAAATTCGTAAGTTTAAACTGAATAAGTCGTTCAAGGACTTTGGAGAGGAAAAGGAGGACGGAAATAGGGCGATAATCGGAGAAGGATGTGGGGTTTTTCTTTTTGGGGATTGGTATAATTGCAGCATCTTTCCAAGCCGTTGAAAATACGCTGTAGGTAATCGAATAGTTTAACATATGACAAACAACAAGAAAGATTTTATCGAGGATTGGGAGGATCATATTACGGCTAAGACAATCAGAACCCACTGCATCCGAAGTAATACACAATATGAACTATGACTAAAGAAGAAGGGAGAACAGTTATAGTTAAACCGCCGTAAGCTTGGCCCTCCTGATGGTTTGGGGGACGCGGGGCGGGGGTGCATTCAACCAATTAGCTAGTACGTCGCTGTCCGCCGGCAGTGACTGACGTGAAAGCATGGCTGTACGTGTTATTTTTCTTGAGACTGCTACACACGGTATTATTTTGCAACATGAATAATCTGCCGACTCTGCGTCACAAAAAGATTTAAAAACTTGAAGTTCGGCTTTCAGAGGTTCTACTGTTAAAGTTCTAATAAAGAAAAATTATTATTTTACTTAATTTTTAAAATTGTATCTGAATATAATTTACATGATGAAGATAAAATGATTTTATTAAAATTATTTTACAGTATTAAATTTTACAATTAATCATTAAAACTTTAACATTAACAATACACTGACATTACAATACATGGAAATAAATTAGATTTTTATTACATCGTGTGTAGATTAAATCCCAAACAAATAAATCTGAAGATATCGAGTTAGTACATCGTGTCATGTATAGCCGAGCGCATCACCCGCCCCGCGTCCCGCAAACCATCAGGAGGGCCAAGCTTACGGCGGTTTAACTATAGGAGTCAGGGTAGAAGTAAGATGTGTAGCATCATTTGTCATTTTTTAAATTTGACATTGCAGAGAAATGTGGATTAAGTTAGTTTGGGTTTACATTTTAAAGGTTCTACCCCGGTTTTAGTTACAGAAGAAATCTGCAATTTTACGATCTCCTACAACTTATGAAAAAGACAGTTGAAAGTTGCATCAGAGGGACTAGTATTACTCTTTCTGGTGCAACTTTGTATGTACCAATGATGTATTAGTGTCATTGACAGCTGCAAAATGTCGCTACTTTGTAACAAAAACAAGCGACGACTAAAGTACCTAGCCCGTGGAAAGTTTACTAAGATACTTAGGTGACGTGGTGGACATGTGAAGCACGTCTTAGTTATCAGCTAGTGACGTCATTTATCTGTACAATTCACTGTCTATTGTGTGTCGGCAATATATTAAATCAATGACTTTGAAGATAATCTCCTTCCTACCAGAAATTAAAATAGGTATAGGTATTTAAATCCTACCATTAGTAACTAATTGGGAACCAATTAAAAGATATTGTAATAGGTACAGGCATAACTATTATATGCTTATATTAAGCTGTCTTTCATGGTTAGCATACGAATATCTGTGGCAAAATCTGAAGTTTAGCCATGTCATACTTAGCAGACTTAAAGGCTACCTAACCTAGTTTGAGAAAAGTGCTTGAAGGAAATTTAGTTCCGTCAATTAACTTGGGATTAAGTTCCCAGTTTCATTCAGATCAATCCTCTCTCTCATACAACACATTTTCTTTACCGTTTTAATTTGTTCTTTAAAAACAATTAACTAAAAATTACGCTTTAATTACCCTATTTACAGGATCTACTTTACGGTCTTAAAATTTTACCATAGCACTGTCTGTAAGAATGTTACTAATATTATGAAGGCGAAAGTTTATATGGATGCATGAATGTTTGTTTCTCTTTTACGCAGAATTGTCTCACCAGATCTGGATGAAATTTAGCACAGAGATAGATTACAATCTGGCATTGCACATAGGCTACTTTTTATCCCGAAGAAAATGTAGGGTTCCCGTAAGATAAGCAAGGTACCACAACAACCGCAGGAAAGGGCCGTAACGGAGGGGCGCAGCAATAATCTGTATATTTATTTGAATTTTTAGTTAAATGTAACTACTTCTCGTATTTACCGTGATAGACATGCTTCGACACTAATGAGCCAAGTTGACCGTAGTGATAATATGTCTCACAGAAAATCGGTATAAAGAAATTATTTCGTTGCTTTTTCTTTCTAACCTGTTATTCTAATGGTTAGTGACTCTGACTGCTAAGCCAGAGGTTATAAGTTCGATTCCCATCTGCGACAATTTATAGTGAGATGGGCACGATAATTCGCAGGAATTGTTCGGACTAGTACCGGCCGCAACTTTCCGCCAGCGTTCCGCACGGCAAAATTTACATCCCCATCACGTGGATAATAGGCGCTTCACTACTGTGCGCTTTTCAAGACACTTTTTGCCTCGCACAACCAATCTGTGCAACAAGTTATCGTCTGCGCTATTTTCGGAGCGATACGACCTTCAAGAATCCTCCTCCCTAAAAGTCGAATAGTACTCCTTCCTAAAAGGCTGGCAACGCGTTTGTGACTCCTGAGTTGCAGACGTTCATGGGTGGCGATGGTCACTTTCCATCAGGTGACCCGCCTGCTCGTCTCATCATCAGCATCATTCATCATCATAAAAAAAACAAAGTACCAAAGTGCTGTTACCAAATGATTTTTCTTTAAATAAATGGTACCTAAATGCTGGCGGTCTTCGTTATTAGCATACTGAAGCTAAGCGTGAAAGAACTGGCAGTGATGAATGAGGAAGCAAAATTTTACTTGTCAAGAGATAAAATATAATTTGATTTAATAGATACCAAAATTATCTAGAAGACTGTTGCCTAAAAATATCTTTAGATATTGTCTTTTTGATTAGATTTGTGCAATTGAGTGTTAGAAGTATAAGTGATGATCCTTTATGGTTTGTATTAGCGGTGCATTATAATTGATACACTTAATTTTAGTTGAAATCTTATCTTCATTTTCAACGAATTATCATGTCATATTTGATAATTCCTCAGAAGAATATTTTAAGTGACCCAATATAATTAGTGTTTAATTTTGATAGAAAATTAGCTCTTAAAGTATAAATCGGTAGAAATATTTGGATACTTGATATTAAATAAATTATTTGTGTTTTTTTAGGTAAGCGGTACATACTCTAATCGTCATTAGAATTTTATTTTTATGTATGTTTTTCAGGTTTGTCAGGAATTATAAGTTACCTGCTCATTTTAAGCAAATATAGTTATGCTATTGATGCATTTGACACATATCGATTGGATTATTTAATGATATATGTAGGTAAGTAATGGAAAATGTGTTCCAAAGTCAGCTACAACATTGAAATCTAATATTCCAGTTGGAACCATCCATTTTTCTTTTAAAGACAACTTCCGCATTAGGAGTATACGAGTATATGTGTCACGGTTACATTTATGAAACGGACACAAAGAACACCCAGACTCAGAACAACAATTCGTGGATCACACAAAGTCGTGTCCCATGTGGGGATCGAAACCATAACACTGAGCCGTGTCGTGACGACCGCTTAAACCACTACTCCATTCGTGCAGTCTATTTGGTCATAGCTCAGTAATCTAATATCGACGTGATATTCTTAGATGGACAAGGATTTAGGATTTAAAGGTAATTAGGATACATCTATCTTATTCCCTATAACAATTTAATCAAAATCCATTATTCAATCATTCACATAAAAACTACATATAATTTCATACAGAAATACGATTAAATATATTTTCTCTTAATTCTAACACTACATCCATAATTTCGTGGGTAGGTTTTTTTATCATTTTTTTTTACATTTTCCACATAGTATGCAATACATATATCTTATATAAATTTCGTACATAACAAGTAAGTATGATTCTATTTTTGCCTCTACACTGTAAATATTTTGTGTTGATTTCTTTAATTATTTTTATCAGGTATTCCGTTATTTTAGGATATGGTTGGGCAAAAGATATTTTCTTTCGTTATTATATTATAAGTAGGTACCTCTAGGTATATAAGTTGCAAAATGTAAATATAACAATATTCTTACATAATGACTTAAAGATGAAAACACCATGATATAACAGAAAGCAATAAAATTACGAATTACTTTAGCTGTCGCCACTGAGTTCCAAACTTTTAATTGTATTTAAAAACTTCTACTCTAACAAAATATTTCAACCTAACGCTACAGATTTAAGAACAGTGGAACCATGGCCACAGCTAAGTTACTTAATATTATGATTAAATAAACATTTCACTGACTAGATCAATTCACAGATATACGCATTAGATGCATAGTCGAAAAAGTAAATATTATACTTTTACATATTATATAATAATAATAACTCGAAATGGTCTTTAAAAATATGAATTGTAACTAACATTACATAATATATACTTTTTAATTTTTGATTATCAGTAACGTCTGATTTTGTGTATACCAATTTTGCAAATAGGTATAGGCAAATAAATAAACCATGTAAACGCAACTAAATAAAAACCCTTTAGTTAGTCTAACTTTCTAACAATTGACCATGACTCCAACACTCCATTAATAAGCTGAAATAAATGCTTTAACAAAATATTTAATAGTCTGTGTTTATTAATTTCTTAATTTAATATATAGGCTCATGAGAAGTCTTATTATGAAAAGATAAAACTCTTAAAAAACATAGTGATGGCCCCGCCAATGCAATTATTTTTTATCTGTGCCTTGCTTATATTTGTAACTGTCAACTTCTAGTTTTTAATTTATAAACATATCTGGCAAATAAATTATTAAGAGAACCAAAAAAAATATAATATATCGTATTGTAAATATTATCAAATATAGTCTGTTCCCGGTAAACAAAATTAGTAAATATTGGGGTTTATAGTTATCTATAGCTGCTGATATATTTAGAAATAAAAAAAAACATATTTCTAATGCTAATGTGGCGACCGTAGCGTAATTCTGAACTTATAATTAAATTACATTAATTCGACAAATTGAATACAATAATAATATACTTGTATTAATATAACATAAAGATAATCATTTTCTATTAGCTGGGTGCATTCAGTTGGGCTTATCCTTGGTTTCAGTGTTGCCATCCTTGTCTTTATCCTTTTCTTTATCTTTCTCCTTGTCCTTTTTCTCTTGTAGTTGTTGTAGATGTGCTGGCAAGGCTTTTAAAATAGCATGTACCTGTAATTATTATTAGATGGGCCAATTTATAATTACAGTAACAGTCAATTTTATCAGTACTTTCGTATCTATCAAGTTCTACTACAACTTACTTCCTCAGCGACGGCCATGAGTACAAATTCGAACTGTTGTTTGGTAGCTACAGTACGCGGGCGTTGATCTCGGATATGCTCAAGTGTAGCTGCGATGTCGATCTCCTTAGCGCCCTTAGCCATTCGATTAAGAACCATGTCAATTAGACAGTACGTGCCAGTACGACCAGCCCCATCACTGTAATTAAGCGTATACATGTTTTTTTTTTAAATACTACTACTTATATAAAATATTATTAACTACCCTGGTTTCGTCGTACCAATTTTTTTTCGGATACCACCCACCGGCGGCTATGTCGGACTCGAACCGACTAAAAGCCACACGCCGTCTTGGGTACCAGTAGCCGGGGAACTAGGTGTACCCTAGAAAGGAAATCCCTGTTTTTTGTCTTTCGGGTTTCGTCGTACGCTTATCTGTGTGGTGACGGATTAAGAATACGGAATGTCACCACCCCTATTCATCCCGCAGGTGTCGTAAGAGCCGACTAAGGGACCAAACTACAAGAAAACAGCACTGCAAGGAGAAGGAAAACTTGAAACAAACCCTATACCAACCCGTCTGGCCAGCATGGTATAGTAGGCCAAAACCTCCTTTCTAAGGAGATGCCTATGTCCAGCAGTGGACTATTATAGGCTGTTGATATGATGATAGGATATGTTTAAACGTTACGTTACGTAGGTCGTACCTCATCCTAATACAAATCCTGGCTATGCCCTGAATATTAATCTCTAACTTAGAACAAATTACCAAAGAAAAAAAAAAATGTATAAAATAACGAATGAGATATGCATGGAAATAATTAATATGTGCTATTAAAAATAGGTAAATAATTTAATATTATACATCAAATAACTATTAGTAGTAATATAATTATATCAATTATCGATCATCTTCAAAATTATTTATATTACCAAAAATGAATGAGATCTAAGCGATAAGATTGACATCGGCCGATTTTGAAAAGCCGCAATAATATTCCAAAGGATTAATTGATGGTATCCATTAATTAAATACCTTTACTAGTTCACCTCAAGGACAATCAAATATTGTTAGAAGCTACGTACCTGCTTAATGGTGCAATCACGTTAAGTACTTATTTAAGACAATATATTCAATACACCTTTTATAATAGACTATTTTTTTATTCATTCACTCTGAAAACAAATTTATAAGCCCTAACTTTGCTGCTGTAAACTGCTTATTCTTCTTTCAAAATATGATTTAAAATAATTATAATTTATGTAGTATAATACCACTACCTCCCTTGACCGATCAAGAATATTAAGGATAAGTCTTAGAGCTGCATATAGCTTTTATAGTATTTTTCTTCACTAATTAAATACTTAGATATTTATTAGTTTATAAATCGATTAATCTAAACTATAGTTATTACACCATATTATCAAAATAATATTAACATTTTATCGAACAAACATCTTTTTATTCTAATTACGATTAATCCTCAACCATAGAGACATTATCTTTCATTCTTAATTTCACGTAGGGATTAATGGTAGTAACATTATTATTACCTGCAGTGGACCACGATTGGGCAAGATCTTCCGCGATACGATTTATTCACCTTTCTGCAAATTAGAAATACTCATTACATTCGCAGTACTAATAACAACAACTGTAACTACTACAAAATTATCTTACTAAACATACCAATTTGAAAAAATATAATAAAATTGGATGAACGGATGATTATTCATAAACAATGAATAAAAATATTGATCAAATCAAAGGTTGAAATCTTGTCCCAGTCAACACAAAATAAAATAACAGAATAACTGCTACCGGCTTGCGTCACCGTTGTTGAGCCAGCGGTACTAGAAGAGTTGATATGAAAAAATGAAAGAGTAATGAGTAATTGCAAAAATATTGCATTTTTATCCTTTTCATCAACTCAAATATTTGTTTTCAAGAACAAGTTATAAAGCGTTTACAAAAAATCGATTGTCAAAAAACAGAATAAAGAGATGAAACAAAATAAATGTGTTGTAATAAAGTGTTTGAGAAAATATCAAACGGCTGAGCAAGGGAAGTATGTAATTATATTTAAGAAAAACTTTAGTTCGCCCTGCCAAGGTTTATCGTAACCTTTACCGTGATAAAAATAGTGCAATAAGAAAATATCACGGTAGAAACTTATAGCCAAGTTTTATATTTGAAACATGCTTTTACCTTCTGAATTCAAGAAGTGCCTTGGTGGATGAGGGCACACCGTTCTCTGGCCAGGAGAGGAAATGGAATTGTGTAACCGTGCGGGTCTCGCCTGTGCGCTGGTTCTTCAGGTAGAAACTACGGACCAAGTAGTCATCGCACCATATATGTTCGCTGACAAGATGCACCTAAAATAATACGCAACATGTAGTCACATATCATGTACACAGTATCTAATGTCTCTAAATACTCTTAAGCAAAGTTATACGATAACTTAAGTTTCTAAGCGAATTTAATTTATATAGTAATAATAATAATATAAAATACTACTACATTCACACAACGCCATCTAGTCCCAAACTAAGCAGAGCTTGTACTTTGGCTACTAGTACTTTTTTTTTTTGTAAATACATACATATTGTACATAGAAACACCCAGACCAAATCAAACATTAAATGTTTATGCACACAACTGTTTGACTTCAGCGGAAATCGAACCCGTTCCGAAGTCCGTTACACAAACCACTACGCCATCCGGTCGTCAAATAATGCAATACAACTAATCAATCGTAGGCCAAAACCTCCTTTCTAAGGTAAGGCCTATGTCCAGCAGTGGACTATTAAAGATCTTGATATTTAGAGTCTTGATGATATGTTCATATGATGATGATGAATTAAACAAAAATAAAACATGCAACTAAAATCAAAAATTCTTTACCATTACAATCATGTCAAAATTGTGTTTAGGTAAAGTACCTAAACACAATTTTGTCTCCGATTTAAAAAATAAACTAGTTTATTATGTAATATACCAATATGAATGTCCATTAAGGACTCGGTGATGTACAATTTTAATATTTTTTAATTTTTTCCACATCCATGGAAACTCATTCAATGCCCAAATCCGATACAGAATAATAACACTTTTCTAGAAGTAATTCCTTCAACCGGGATTTTAACATGTGTGTGTTCCACTTACCATGTCTTTAAGATCTATTAAATAACTCGACGGACTGATATCCTAATACTGCACTATCAGAAATATAAAATTACGATTACTTCAGTAATAAATAGTAGGTCAAAACCTCCTTTCTAAGAAGAGGCCTGTGTCCAGCAGTGGACTAGTAAAGGCTGTTGATGATTACTTCAGTAGTGCTAGTTAATTATAATTAATATTTTGCAGGGCAGTTTACAGTTACATTTATCTTTCAATATACTCCCTTTTCTTCAATTCCTGGCCCTTTTTACATGAGTCTTTACCTCGTAGATATGGTAAAGTTCAGATCCTTCTTCAGGCCAATAACGATGGCAGAGCTGCTGTCCGTTCTCAGTAAGACGAGTGAGCATCACCATTACAACGCTGCCTTGCTCCCACACCATTTGCCAAAAGTCAGGAGCTGTGTGTGCCATCGGTCCAGCGGCAGCGATGTAAGCTGGATTACGTGGGTCATGATCCGTCTGAAAAAAATCTTTTATGCAAACTGGAACTAATGTGTTTGTGTCTGTTTCATGTATGTTTTGTAAAGTCCCCCGCGACATAGGATATATTACTAGTGCGGGAGTTGTATTTTATAAATATATAAAAAAAGTAAATAAAACAATATTTAGTCCCAAACACACTATTCTTAATAATTTTAAAAATTATACATTATAATGATAGATAGTGAGAGATGACTACGTGTAAGGGTCTATAAAACTGAACAAATAGTTTACTACTTCTAATATTCGTTATGATTTATAAAAAAGGAAAGCATTGCTGTTAAGTTGACTTTGCCAAATATTTTTAAAACTTCATTTTCATAAATTAAAGTATTCTGTGGATATAATCTTGAATGGTTGAATTTTATTTTTCATAATTATGCCAAAAACAAATAATAATAGTAACTTCAGACATCTCACACACGGCCGTCTGATTCCAAATTAGGCAGGTCATGTACTAATAATAATAATACTGTTGCACATCGTTCAATATTTGTTGTTGATTTTTTTAGGTAAATAAAGTAATTTACTCAAACATGTATTGTATATTATATATTTCTCAACTCCACTATTATCAATTTAAAAAAAAAACATTAACTTACAATCGTCGAAGCATTGATAAAATCAGATCCGAGATGATTCGAAAGCGTGTTAAGCGTTACTCTTGAATGATCATAAGGCAATACTTCCGAATATCTGTTCTTGCCAGTGTTGTCAGCTTTTGTGGCGGCCGTAGCGGCGCAGGGTTCTGCTTCGTATGCACAAAGAGCCCGCCATTCTTGTTCCAAACGATCTTTGTTACGTAGGTGATCTTCCATATAGGCCTGTAAAGCGTAATCCAAAAAGGTTTAGTTTAGTCATTGACTGAGCCAGTTCGAGAAGCTTTGGTTGAGCCAGTAACCTCACTTACTCGGTAAAATGTAATGCAGAGTTGAATGTAATGCACCGGTTTTCTACGAGGACGTGGTATGGCCCAGGTTGAACGAAGTTCCGAAGTCAAATCAAGCAAAGTTATTTCTTTGAGATTAACTAACACTATTTAAAAAATAATCTTACCAAAACAATGTGTCCGGTAGAAATATCCATATTAGTAAGAGCTGGTTCTTCGCTCCTGTACAAGAACAAAAATCATATGATAGTAGTGTGAATTATTACAACGTTTTAAGTATATGTACGTATGTATAATGAACAATAATCAATAAAAAATAATTTCTGAAATAGAGATGAGATCTATAATTTAATGTAATGTTTTTTTTTAATATTCATTGTAATAGTTTTTTTTTCAATTAATCACCATGAAGAAGTGCTAGATCTTGTCGAAGGTGAATTGCCCTCTGGTTCCTTTGAAAGGGATGTGATGCGCTGCGGTGGTTCCGTAGGATGTGGTGGAGCCGAGGTCGTTGTCTGCTGCCCTGACCATTTACCGGACATTCGTGCACGGCACAATTCCTGGGGACAAGTAATAAAACTGTTAAGCATAGTAAAATATACACAAAAAAACTACTAATTTTTTTGACTAAACTGGATCAAAGATTTGGGAGCGGATGACAACAGGATGTGATAAGGTTATCAGACGAAGAATCAAATTAATAAAAGCTGAAATTGCAATATTAGAGATACCTACATATGTATTGCATTAAATTCAGACTCAAAATTCAGACTTGGACATTTGATTATTTTTAATCAAACTATCCATTAGTTACTGTTTTTTTAATTCTATTATAACCATTTTGTAACTTTTTAAATATCTAGTGTAATTGTGTTTCAAAACTTTCAAGAAAAAGCTATTATTCTATTCTCATCTAATTCAAAAAACCATTCAAAAGAATAAATCAAGAAATTACTTACTATATCTAGCCCTTTCCCTATTTGAGGAAGGTTTATAAACTACTTTTAAATAATTGAAGGAATAAGTTAAGTTTGTCACATTACACGCGCTAACGAGAAAAAACGACATAGAACAGATGAGACGCTCTCAAACCACATGGCCAGTAAGATAACAAACTGATAGCTAACCCGAGCGTGTAATAATTGGTTTAAATCATAATCAACAACCTTTAACAGTCCACTACTGGACATAACGATTCCCAGGGGATGAATGGTGGTGGTGATACGAAAGATTAAGCAGTCATTTCACTAAGATACAAACTAAGGAGAATTCCATATTCTACCTGGTAATCAAGTCTTGCTTCGGCGTCTATTTCAGCAGCAGAAGACAGACCTTGCATCTTCCTTTTGGCACTCATATCTCGCTTTAACAGTACAGCGAACACTACAGCGCCTATAATCAGGACAGACAAGCTTCCAACCAACGCAAGTATTACTGGCAGATCAAGACCAAACATGTATTCTTCTGGATTATCTATGCGTTTACTTATTGGATCGCCTTTAACCTGCAAATATACATTGGGATATTAAGTATGTCTACAGATTAGAAATATAATATTAGTAAAAAAGAATTTAAGTACAAATTGTTAAAAACGCATTTACGTTTATATACCAAAGGAAATATGGCAGCCATATCAATGTAAAAACAATTAAATGCAATTTGTATTGAAAATAGAATGTAATGTTGAACTCAAATAGGTAGATAAATATTTGAAGATGTTAAATTTATATGACTGTTGTAACTTACTAAACCACCAACGCCAGTAGCGATAATCTGAGCTCCAGTCTGGCGTAACACTTCATCTTTGATGGCATCTGAAAAAAATATACTTTTAAGAATTCTAAATTTATATAAAAGCAAAAAAATATATATTTGCTGATACTGTATGAGATTCATGAGATTCAGAATAGGCTTACCAACACGCTTTGCTACCTCAGCCGCGTTATAACCTTTGCTGTTGTTTTCCACTTTGAATGTAACTTCGGTTAAATTAACACTGAAACAAGAAACAACGTTCTAATCTTTTTTGTTTCCAGTTAAAAAGAGAATGCTAGTTACTCTATTAAAAATTTGAATGAAGAAATTACCGAGGATGTGAAAAGGTGTTTTTCTCTAAACCGAGCATTTCTTCTAGTGATGAAATTAATGAAGTACCTTTCACCCAGTTATTTAGATACCTGAGGCAAACAATGTACAACATTAGTGACAATATTATTTATATTCGCGTAGTGAATACTTGTTCATGACCTAACCCTTCAAACGAAAACCTTATCTTAGAAGTGTCTATTTATCAGTCTTTGCATGTTCGCACCAAATTTTGAAATACCTCGACATTATATTATATCTTTCTCATCTCGTTTTCTGAGCTATAGGACCAACCAGACTCAAAATAAACATTAAGGGCTGTGATTGCTCACAACTACTCTTATTATTAAACATATTGCTCATTATTTGATTGTACTATTAAATACATCTGTAAAACCTCACCCGTTATGAATAGTCACGTACGCAAATGAAGGATCGACATTACGATTGTAATCAGAAGACATATCATCATGTACGTGCTGCGATCCATGAGCTAAAAGACAAAATCAGATAAATATTGTTAAATATATGTATATTCTCGTAACTGGTTCAACACAACACCTATAAAACATGAAGCATGCATAGTTTCGAACGTAGGAGAGAGTTTCTTTAAATGAATAATAAATTTCCTTCAAATAGGACAGATAGCGAAGTGTAAAGAAAATATGATGTTTATGATCGATGTTGATTATCATCATTAGCATATCTTGTATCTACAAAACTCAAGAGAAGCGCATAAAATGATACAAGGAATCAATATAAATACAAAAAGAGCAAATATAAAGTACTTAGACATGTGTGCGATATTAACATTGAATCCGACAATGGCTATAAAACAAACACAAAATAAAACAAAACATTTAGACATGACCACACATAGGCAACACGTTTTATAGGGAGGACTATTATAAAAGTCCCATGCTCTGTGTTTCACTATAAATTAAAATGTGCTGAATTAGAGAAACACAAAGTGCAGTGTTCTATACAAGACGCGGAAGTGCGGTTAGTAAAAAAATATATGTTAAACTCAGTTGTAGCATTAGCCTGCTGCCTGATATTATTGGACGAAACATCAATAATCAAAACAATTACTCAGGCTGTGACACTAACCTGTCACTGATTTATTGTTGTATAAATTCTTTAACAGTGCTATGTCTGGGCGCGGCCCAGGCTTTTTAACATCGTCTCTTTCCCTACGCTTAAATCCCCATTCGCTATTAAGTAAATCTTGAATATCCTCGGGATAAAATTTTGAATTTTCACCTGAAACATTGTTGGCATTTGTAACACCCTCATTCTGGTGTAGACTTTTATATTTTGGGCCCTATATAACATAAAATTGCCAAAAAAGAATATAACACATTATCAAACTAAATATTAAAATGAGGAAACTAATTAAAATGTTAGTATTTCAACACTTCAACAGAATGAGTGAAAAAATGTTGTTTTTGTACCTACAATGCAAACGAAGCGAGAAGCAAAATAAATTGCCTTCTTTACATGAAGATTGCGTTTTAATAACAATCTAGAGGCATGCAACAGACTTACCCAGTAAATCATCTGGTGTGAGTGGACCTCCTTCTGCATAGAAGGCGTCTTGTGGTTTGTTGTTAGAGTCCATTCTATCGCGCCAGTAGTTCATGTAATATGCCATCTGCTTTGATTTGGGGTCTAATGCAGCAGGATTTTCTGCAGTACAATGTGTTACTTAATCATTCTTTTATCATTTATAATATGAAAAAGTATAAAAAATAAACAAAATTTACCTTTCAAGTGATAAGAATCAATTTCTCCACTTCCAGCATCGATGGGAGATTCTTCAACACCATCCTCGTCCATGTACACTCTCGGCTCAGGTATTTCGCTAGGGTTTTCATATTCAAAAGGAAATTGTTTCTCAGCAAAACTTTGAATATAGTTTTTATACGCATTGGAACGAATTTCCTCATCCAAGGGGCTTAGTCTATTAGTGGTAATGTATTCGGCTGTAAAAGGCGGTGCTTTAACTTTGAATTTCCGGAAATGGGCACCCACCCGTTCTTCATCAGACACAGGCATATTGGGCTCATTTTCACCAGTTATGAAAGATTTTTTCTCTTTGTCAATCATAACACTAGATGCTGCGTTATTATTCATATTTTTCGCCGATTTTTCAGCTTGGATTCTTTCCCTGAATCCAGAGAAGGGCATTATAACTGGAGATTCTTCATTTTCTCCTAACAGCATAAGATCGCGTAATTTGTCACTTGGAGTTTCATCTTCAGGTAGTTCATCGTCTAAAATAACATATATGATAAATAAAACAATAATTAAATCATACTATAAAGTAGTAGCGGACTTATTTAAGACGTATTACTACAGCTTGATAGTATTTCTCATTAATGAATCAGACTTATTTAAAATAAGTCTAATACATAATAATTAAATCTTAAATGAAATAATTTCTTTCTTATTACCTTTGGGTACGTATTGAGTAGGGTCATCATCTGGTGTAAATGGTGGATTGTAGACTTCGTTTGCAAAGTCTGAGAGTGGTGAGTTTGGTGTGAAGCGGACATATGCCGTTTCAGCTGGTTCAGTCTGAAATAAATATTATCATTTAGCATTGAACTTGTGTTATGAAAATTGGGTCGTATAAGACATCACGACTTACTTCTGATTTTTCTTCATCGCTTTCCACTGATTTAGTGTCTAATTTAGGATCCGCAAAATGCTCACAAATTTTGCTGTTGACGGTGGCTGGGTCACTAAAACGGTAAAATGATTATTTTGAAACACATATACTCTTTGCTTAAAGTTGATATTCAGAGAGCCTCAGACAAGTCTGTGATCACTATGCACAGTTACCCCTATGATTCCGGCTTATAAATCCATGGGATCCTACTCGCTCCAATTCTGTACTCCCAATTTAGAGTTAAAGTCACCCATAACAACGTTGTAGTGGGTCTTAGTTATGAAGTGGAGGGCCCTCGATAGCTCATCGAACATATCCTCCACCTCGTCGTCCCATTGTGCCGAGGTCGGTACGTGAGGCACAACCTTGAGGCTATACCTCTCGGGGAGCTTGATAATGAGGTACGATACCCTGTTCGACACACCCGAAATTTTCACAACGTTGTCAGAAAGGGACTTATTTATGAGAAACCCAACGCCACCTGGAATTGTTGGTCTCCCTCGCGGAAGTATATTAGGTGGTCCGACTCAAGGGTTATGGTGTCCTGCCCCTCTCTTCGGACTTCACATAGCCCTAGGATATGCCACCTAATCGTCTCAAGTTCCACCTCAATTTGCGCCAGATGCGAGTCTAGCCGTAACGTGCGTCCGTTATACGTAGCCAGGGTCAGTCGGTTGTGATGGCCTTTTGTTTTTTTACGTGTGGTAGCCCCCTAGGGCCGTCACCCCCACCGGGGTTTGCGGCGGGGTTGTGTGTCGGAATCGGACCGACCTTGTAATAGGAAGGATCCGGCAACTACTGTCATTAAGACATCCGGACCCCTCCTAGCGCCTGCCTGCAACGGCGCGGACCATCTCCGGGTTCATTCTCTATTTATGGCGCGACTGACCGTTATGGCGGGGTAAAACCCGTCCCATCCGCCCGTCGGTTCGCCGGCAACGAATTGGGTCCAAGTGGAGTCACCTTTCCGGGCCCTCTCCGCCGCCTCCTTCTGTGAGATGACGTCTTCGCAAAAGGATGTGACCGCGGTGAATCATCTTTCACTACCGGCCATAGAGCGTATGAACGCCGGTAGCGAGAGATCCCCTCCGATGACTGCAATGAGGACCCGGCGCTGCGGCGCCCAAGCCGGGTAAATTGCCAGCGTCTGCCGTCTTGCCAGAGTCCTCACTGATATCGCAGTGGTAACAGGCGGGACTCAATTCCCTCCTAGCGACCGAGTGCAGGAAGCAGCCGTGCCCGGAAAGGACCTGCGTCAGCCGGAAGAAAAGGGTCCTGTGCTGCCGCCCTGCCCATTTAACGATACGTTTGTGGTGGCCTCCCGTAGCCCGGAGGTTCTTCGCACCCCCTGCGCCGCCGTTATCGTGGTCGCCACCATGACCAGGATTAGCGGGGCTGACAGCAATTGGAGGCCGTGAACTTTGTTGCATCTGCATGGGGAGGATTTACTCATAATCGCCACGCTGGGCAGGCGGGTTGGCAATCGCAGGGCGTAGCTTGTCGCACCGGTGACGCTGCTGCCCGTCCCCGGCCTGTTGTTTTTAGCTTCGCCTATTGGGATGGATATCATACCATCGGTCGGTCGCCAGAGCCTCGTTCGTCGTTCACCAGGATGCACCGCGGGCAGGTAAGGTTGGCTTGGGGTGAAAGATTGACGGTTGGCCCCTCACACCCCATTTCATTATAATGGTAAAAAGAGAGCACACGAATGGTATAGTAAAAAACTAAACAACATAACTAAAAAAATACAAGTCAAATCAAGAGACACGTTCACACTTACAGATTTTGGCGTAGTGTGTAGAGCATCGCTTGCAGGACGCATTGCGTATAAGCATGCTCCCAGCGATATCCACGTGATGCAAGTCTTTGGAGCTCTCCTTCAAACCACTCAAGCTGTTCTGAGTTCATGTCATATCTAGATAAAACAAAATTCGATCAAAATAAACATTTTGTCAAACGAGTAATCATGAGTATCTATGAATTTTAAATGTTACACATAAACAGACTGTAAACAAAGAATATTAACATACTCCAGGCAATATAAATAAATTAATGTTGATCAACTAGCTATACTTCCAATTTGACCTAATTCATTAACTATATAAAATACTCTTGGTCTAGTAGTCACTAAAAGTATTTTTTGAAATGAATGTCACTAAATCTACAGGTCCTGTATTGCAATATCGAATTTAATTCACAAATCATGCTAGATTATAAAAGGTATTGAAAACACTTACTGATAAAGAGCCCCCTCCTCAGTCTCTTCTTCAAATACCGGTATACATTTACCGAAAGCGAAATCTAAAGCCGTAAAACAGTTTCGTTAATAATTACGAAAGTTTCTTTTAAATAAGGAAAAAATATTAAAAACACTAAGTGGATACCGTACAAACTTTTCTTGGTACAATAACTAGTAAAAACAAATTTGTTGCCAATGTTTATCGAACAGGTAAGGTACGAAGCCGCGCTAGTGAGCTATTTGAGTTTGTTGTGTAAAGTTTTCTCATTATAAGTTTTGAACTTACCATCGTAACACCACTCGACCCCCTCCACGCATAAAGATGCGCTGAATAAGCAACCTGGTGAAAAAATAGTCTCATCAATGCTTCGGAGTTTGAAGAGATTGATATCAATGAGTAACATGTCGATTGTTAAGCATTAAAAATAAATAGAACTATACCATAAATATATGATACCACTGAAATACCAAAATAAACTATATATAGATCTAGATTATCGATCTTTTCCTTCATCTCTCCTGTTAATATTACCCTTTTTTTTTTCCCGTGCGGAAATCCCCTCGGATACCACCTGTCGGTGGCATGTCGGACTCGAACCGACTAAAACCGCACGCCGTCTCGGGTACTAATAGCCGGGGAACCAGGTATACCCTAGAAAGGAAGTGCCTGGTGCCTGTTAATATTACCCTGAATATATTATTGTAATATAATATATTATTAATATATTATATTTTAGTATTTATGTTTCTAGTTTTTTTTTTAAATCGCGTTTATAAGAGTAACTCTAGTTATAACTTTGTTCTTCTAATTTTATATACAATACACACTATTTACGTCAGTAAATATCATTTTTAAATACGACTCAACATACCTAACACTTATTACAAACAGTCCCTCCATAAGTATCTACTACCACCACCATCAAAACGCCATTACCTGTCAGGACCCTGTATATTCACTTGTCCTCATTTCTAGGTTTTTTAAATGTTTTTAGCAATGACTTCTATAATTAAAATTAAAAAATAACTTGACTCCTTGGATAGCCTAAATTCCCAGATGAACCAGATAAATGCTATAGTCTACTAGGCACAGCTCAGCATAACTCACTAAAAATCTTTCAACTAAACATTCGTAGTGTCTACGTCTTGGTAGTAGTGTCTTTCAACTAAAACTTCTAAACTAAAACTCAGAATAAATTGTGATGTTATAATTCTGACGGAATGCTGGCTCTTAAAGTGTACTAACATCCCGTCATTACAAGGATACTCTCACTATGCATCCACAAGCGTCATTCTTTCCAAAACGCAAGCGTCATTATTTACATAAACTCAACTTTACCTCATTCTATTACAGAACCTATATTCAACCATGCTGCTTCTCTAACCTGTAAGCATCACAATAAATGGACTAAAAAGTAATGATGCACGTATTGAATATGGCATTCCTCAGGGTTTAATCCTCGGTCCTACTGTTTTTACTTTACATTAACCAACTTTGTGATATTAATCTCCCCAATTCTATTCTATTTACACTTATGCAGATAATTGTTCACGACGGCTTCCTATCTCTAGTCTATCTTTAGGCTTGCAATACCTAACCAACCTCGAATTAAAATACAAACTGACAAAATAGGTGGTAGTCTTAGACTACGACGAAACTGAAAATCTCTTGACAACTTTATATGAAATTGATACTCACACAGCAACTCACAATCACACACACTTATACATCTAAGCCATTATCTGGTTATTACTATGAAATTGTAACAGTAAAGTAGTCCATTAAGTCTAATAAGATTGACAATATAGTCAATAGTGGAACTAGCAGAAAACTGACGTTCAAAACACAGGTCTGTATATAGTTTGGATGTCAGGGTTTAAAACTTATGTACCTACAAGAAAATTGTAATTTTAATGAAATGTACATCTGCAATTCTTTCTTGCGAAATAAACGATTTATTTATTTATTAAATGCAATAATAATATATAATAATATAAATTTTAGGAGTACAGTATACATTGGAGAAAGGTGTATAATTTATTAGGTATAATGGTGTGGTTCTATTAAGAATAAAAGTTAATCCTACCGAGTATACAAATTAAAACGCCATTTAGATTACACTTAGGATTTAGACGGATGGTTTGCCTTAGGTCTTGACAAATTTAAATGCCTCTGGTTAGATATAGTTTCTCGCATTTGTCCAGTATAATTTTATACTTAATCCAGGTCGTAAACCATTTATGTGCTATCCAAATCCGTTCAGCTGTATTATTATCATTAATATATCCTCACAAACTGCTCTCTCGCGCTATGTTTAATTAGAACTACTAAAAAATAGCAGACTATTCTTATATGTGATTATGTTGCCGAGCAGTGGACAAATTATTCAATAAATTTAAGAAGTAATGACGCCTAATATTGATACTTACACTATAAAACGTTTTTAGTTAACAAATGAAGTAACCGTTAGACCTCATAATGTATTTGTGAAGGTAAACTGCGTTATGACATGCGAAACTTTGGTTTATTTAACCATGTCATGTTATCTTCCTATATTATTTTTGATGGAATACAATAAGGTTAAGTTATGTAGCATAATACATGAAACTCTTCGATTTGAATGCTGTTTTGGTATATGAAAATGTAGATAATACTTTTATCTATAATCGCTTTTTGTTTAATTCTTCTGTTTTAAATTTCTTCGTATTTGATCCAGGCCATCAGAAGACCCGTAACATAATCATGCTCAAAGCTTTTAATGCTTTTAAACTAGAGACTGTCTGTAAGTATTTAATGTAAAAAGGGCCTTTGTGATATAAAAGCCCTTTTACATTCATCACTTACATACAGTCTTCAGAGCCGTTTTAAGTGCAGTTCTGGTTTCATAATTCTTACCGATTAAATATATCTGATTCAATACACCTACAGAAATATCGTCGAATATTAATGTACATTAATCATCGATGAAATTATATCGCAGGTAATTAAGGTAGAATAATTCTGTTGCCGACTTCATTAAATTAAAATTTAGTAATCACAGTATTATCGCTACGACAGAACGTCAAAATATCTTTTTGATTGAATGTCTTTTTGATTAGATCTTTTAGTGTCATAGAAGTCGAGTTCCGGAAAAACTTGATTAAAAACTTTTACGACATATGTTATAATTTAGCTCTGTAGTTACAACTACTAACTCAAAACGTTGAATATAAGGAATGCTCTATTTGCCTAAGTTTTGACACTGGGCTAGAGCCGAGGCGACTTTACTATATTTTAAAGTAACTTTGTTTGGGACTCTACACTCTAAATATAATTTATTTAACTCAATTAAATGCTTTTATGTTTGTTTTATTCTACTAACATATAAAAAAGCTATTCCCTGTACTGAAAGTTACATTAAAAACGATCTGAATCGTGGTAGGATTAACACAGAATGAAGACGTGTTATACAGTTTTCATAAGGTACGAACTCTTTTCGTTTAGACGACATTTCGACCTATCGTTGTCATGTGTGACTGGTCAGCATAACCGCAGCTACAACTGCACTGTACTGACCGTACTGTCAACAGTACGGCACTGTATAGTACAGTTGTTGTTGCTCATAGGGTACAGCATCCCCACCGCGATTGACCACTCGCCGTGTGATCAACGAAAGTGTGTCTAAACGTCAGGCAATTCAAAGGAATGAACGCGATCAATACCTATTAATTACCTTAATTCTCATAAAGATTACAAACTGTAACTCACCTATGTTCCCATCGGCATGCGAGGGCGCCAGCGTGCAGAGCAGCGCCAGCGCCCACAAAGCCTGCCGCACCGACAAGCGGCACATCACATCTGAAACAACACAATTTTTTTTAGAAGTTGACTTTTACTAGTGGACTTTAGTGATATTGGGTATCCAGTAAAACTGGAAATGCTGTTTATTTATTTATTTATAATATGTGTCCGGTGTACAGTCTATACAGTATTTCCTTCACTAATTGAAGCCTGACTGTCAGCGACGCACTGGATTTAGAAGTCTCGATAGTACTGTGCAATTTGCACTAAGCCTAAGTAGGCCTAAGTAGCCGACGTAGAAATATCGATTGATGGCAATATGTGTGTAAACGCTTTTTAACTAACGATTTCGAACGTAATCATAGAGCACACATTAGATTATGAATGAGTTTTGTATGTGAAGCTGTTTGTTAGCATGTTTTTTGGCTATTTCAAATCTCTTAAATAAGGCTTTGTGCTGTCAAAACAGAATAATATTTGACCGTCGCCCTGCATAAGCAATACATGGTACTTCAGATGATTTTAATTACTTTCATTGCTTATATAAACCTTATGCTGGTAGTACATTTTGTTTACTGTAGTTTTTATATGTTAATTGTATTGTAATAATAACAGAACATTTTCAAAATACTCTTGCTAACATAAAGTCAGCCTTTCTACAGAACTTCCATATCGCCTAGTACTTGGGTTGGGTAGGTCGGATGGCAGTCGCTCCGCATAAAGGTCGTAGCCTACTTAAACGACTCCGCTCCCACCCAACCAAAGTAAATTCCATATTTAAATGTTTATACTAGTGATGTGCTTTCAACAATACTTTTGCAAAGTATTGTTGAATGGACATCACTAGTATTTATTAAAGTCAGATAACGTCAACACACAAACATATATGTATTATACCAATGTTAGGTTTAAAGATCAAAATACCATAGCCCGTCTAGGTATGCGCCGATGTAGGCCAGCTTACAGTTTATTAGTTTCAGTGTAGTTCTAAATGAATTTCTTATTTCATTATTCCATTTGTGTTACGGTCCTGAATATTATTGCAGACTACAATACATGATTGTTGAAATTACATAACATATTGTGAGTCCTCGATCTGAACTGTAAATAGTGACAGTCACTATTAATTTAAACGTAATTTTTATGTTTGCTAGCTTTGTTAGCTACTACCATGGTGCCAATTTTTTAGTTTTTTAAATAGCATTTCAATAACAACCTTAACCAATAGAATCATAGAATAGTACCAATGTAGGTCTCTTATGCATATTTAAGTACGTTGTATTAATAAATCTTTATCGATAACAATCCAACTATGTCAAAACGAGTGTAAACACTTAAAGAGTTGAGACTTTCAGATCACCAGAACATATATATTATTATGTACCTATATTTAAAAATATAAATGTCTGAAAACAACTGCCACAGACTAAAGACTGTTGCGCTTCTTTTTTATTTCATTTTGCACAGAAAAAGGAATACTATTCTTTATTCTGTGGTATTTTGTAATACGATGTAATTTTTTGACCTTAGTACTTCAGAGTGACAATATTAAAATATTATACTCTACTGAAGATCACATAAATAGCTGGTGCGTTGAACGATCCATTCTTATTACCTACACACTACACGTCTTTATTACAAATTCCATCTAAGATTAATCCTTCTCTCTTATCGTCATAGGAAACGTTGGTATTTAAGGTGGAAATATCAAGTTATCTATTTACCGTTTACTGAAGAGAAATTTCAAATATTAGTACCGAAAACGAAGAAATCGGTATACAAATACAGTGCAGTACGGCTTAGTACATTTTTCTTTTTTGTTTATTCATCCGTTTTTTTTTGTTGAGCTATAAACGATCTTAAATTATATATTACATAGCACACATTAAAACCATCAAGATTTTTAAATGATAATACTGTCTAGAGATCGTCTGGTGGTTGAATTTTGACCATCATATTTTGTTATTCTGACTTCTTACTATGATTTGCACTGTTACTAATTAGACTTTTCTCCATACCATGACAGATTTACTCGTATATTATGTATTTACTAGACACCTATAGATCATGAAACTCGTTTTTAGAGATATAATACTTCAAAACATTTTCAATAAAAAAATATTTGAATTTGAAACTTCTGGAATATTTTTCCATGTAAACAGTATTCCAAACTTTAAATAACTCTGTTAACAAAAACAAATGAGTGTTAATAAAGAAATTAGAAATTAATAAATAATCATTGTATGCTACATGGGAGCGTGTTTAGCATAATTCTGGCTTGGAATTGCGGACTTAGAGAAAACAAAACACGGGTTCGGCCACGTATGATTTTTTGACAGCCTTTAAAATTAAATTACTTGTGACTCCTGATTTGCAGGCGGTAGTCGCTTTCTCTCAGGTGACCTGTCTGCTCGTTTGCCCCCTCTTCCATAAAAAAATAAATTAATTAAATAGTATTACTCAACAAACCTTCTGTCCGTGTGGTGACGGATTAAGAATACGGATTTTCACCACCCCCATTCATCCCGTGGGTGTCGTAAGAGCCGACTAAGGGAGCAAAGTATGCAGGACAACAAAACTAAAAAGAGAAAGATAACTTGACACAAACCCTATACCAACCCGTCTGGCCAGCGTGGTATATTAGGCCAAAACCTCCTTTCTAAGGAGAGGCAAAGTCCAGCAGTGGACTGTTAAGGCTATTGATGATGATTGATGAACAAACCTTCAAAACAATACTGGAGAGCAAAGAAAAAGCATTAATTACTTTACTTTTGTCGTGTGTATTAGATTTAGATAAAACAATGAAAATAATTTCAGTCCTACATCATCGCTATTGCTGTCATGCGCCGGTGCATCTTAACATTCACTATTATCGGTCATTCACAGTAACAAAAATACATTATCGATAATGTCGTAAAATTGATAAGTAGGTAAACTTCGTGTCAGTAATGCAATTCTGTTCCTTTTCTTCTTTTTGATATAACATAGACGAGTATCGTTATATCATCGATATATTAAAATAGTATCTCACTGAGGTTAACGACGGTAGAATATTCCAGTACAGTCTCAAGGGACTCATTGCACGAGTTTAGTGTAATTAGGTAATCTGCCAAAGAGTTCTAAACCTTTAGGAATTTTTAGAGTATTGTTTTTGACTCAACATTTTTATAAAAATAACAAAGAAGATGCCACGAACTCCATTTCTTCCAAAGGGTCAATTTGTGGTGTCAACATATGTATGTTAAACTACGGTAACAAAGCATATCACAAACAGATATAAGACGGCAAATACTCTTAAAATCCTAATGGCATTATACTTATCAAGAAAGAATAAAAAAGTTCGTAATTCCCAAGTTCATACTAATCAGTTCAGCAAAACTTTAGAGAGCAACAAAACTCACGATTGTAAGTCCTTAACCTTTAACATAAAGGGTAACGTACTGCTGAATTCACTAATACCAAGTGACTTTGGTCTTTTATCTTCTGACGTCGAACCGTGGGCGTTCTAACAACGGCTTACTTCGTAGTCGTAGCTCGTTGCTATACACGACATTATGAAACAAGAAATTGTAATACTAAAAGCTTTATTTTCAGGTTCAGTAAATGGAAGTTTATAACATTTAGCTAATGTAGTTGAGTACAATAATTTGTTAAAAACTTTGTAACATAATATAGATGACAGACACAGAAAGAGTTTTCAACTTTCCCATTTTGTTGACTGTCACATTAGTCCCTGTATGCTGTAAGTTTGCATGTGACCAAGTAATTCTAAGTTAGATTCCCAGGTCGACCTACTTGTCGTCAACCACAGCAATACTGAAAGTGGACAAGTGAGAATACCTTTGCAAAAAGCTAACTATGTAATTAAACCTTGGAAGTCCATTTTAGCTCACTACTAATCGTCGTATAGAAATGAACCATTGCAAAATATTATATGTTACTCGAATGACAATACTATTATTTGCTATCATGAAGCTGATCTTGAACAAGGTGGAAGATACAGAAATTCATCAGTGTCTGATCCTTTACTTTAGCCCTCGGAAGAGCTGAATTCTACTTATTAGTGGTTTTCGCTCCGGGTCGAAATATAGCAGTCATAGCAGTCGAAAATTGCTTAAATAAGTTGTTTGGGCTCTCAATATTCGTGCCCAACGTACGTCTCTCATATCAATTGATTTTCTCTTGCTTTTCTAGACAAACGACTAAACGAGGAGGAACGAACAATAATATTATAATACATATATATGTTATAATGTTAATGTTATATAGAACAAAAGATTTATGCTTTGTAAGTTAATTACATGGAAGAATAGCGTATCCGTTAGCAACTTTACATTTAGATATTTATTATGAACCATCATGCTCGTCACAGGCTTACATTATCCTTATTAACTAACTAAGCTGATTAATGCTGTATAAACATATTTCTTTCTTCTTTATAAGTTAATTATATTTGGATATTCTCATTTAAAGTTGAATATTTTAAGCTATATCGAGATTCTGTTAAAGATCCCTTCACGGCGGTCCTAATATGTATCTCTTTTGAAATTTAACGACGCCTAATTTAGCAATGTTGGTGATGCTAAATTTATACTACTATTTTAAAAATTGGAAAAAGTATCCAATTATAACTAAAGCAAAAGTTAATGAAACGGAGTTATAAAAGTTAACTAAATAATACGTCTGAAACATGCGCAAAGTAAAAATTTTCTCAATTTAACCATTAAAATATGAGGACATGAGCAAAAATAGACTTTCATGTAACTTGGACAGGTTCGGTCCCTGATAGAACCCTGAGCCGAAAATAACTCATGGCTCGGAGAGCGCTACAATTTTAAATATATTTTTATATTATGAAAACATAATACAGAACATTTTGAGGAAATAGGCAAACTAAGGACATGCTTAGAGAGATATTAAATAAAATAAAGAGAGAGAGATATTAAAATATAGAGAGATATTAAAATATATATAATTCCAAAGAATATCAAATTATAGTCACACAACATTCAAGTCAAATTATATTATTATACGAGTATCTAATAAGGTCTAATAAG